CACCACGTTTGGGGGAGGGGGGGGGTGATGTGACACACGGCGTGGAGACACTTGACTAACAAAAAATAATACGCGAATTACACAACGCGAAAAACAAATGCCTTACTAATAATGCCGCATTCACGAAATCAGGCGTGGATAGGGATCTATCTGTATTATGGCCTTGGTGGTTTTGATTTGGAGTCCACCGTCTAAAAATCTGGGAACCACTTAATTTAAAAACGAGGTTCAATTTTACTTTCATCCAAAGCATTCGTATTAAGTTACTCGACCTATAATATAACTTTTTCGGAAGCTTACACTCCGGTAATAACGAGCAAGGCTTGTTGGCCGAGAGGGGGGGGGGGGGTGAAACATTTACGAATAACATATCATCATCATGTCGTCGACTGCCACAGCACCATCCTTTCTCTAGCTATAAAATTCCCAAAAGTGCCGGTCGCGTCCGAAAAAGAGAAAAAAAAAACCCCATCCCATCTTCAGCGAGGAAATGCAGACGGCGGTCAGTCCCGCGGCTCGGCGCGTTGTTTCTCGTCGTCGTCGTCACGGATGGACGGACGCTGGCAAAAGCGAGGAGCCACGGGCTTGGCATCAACGTCCCCCCCCCCTCCTCCACTCTGCTGTGAGCGTTTCTCGGGCACCACGACGTGGACACCACGGCCCCCGCTGGACGGAGCCACAGTGCCCCCCCCCCCTCCATTCACCCAAGCGTCACGCGAGATTTTGGCATCGGTGGAATTAAAACACAAAACCCAAAATCTATTTTAGTCACCCCCCCCCCTCCCCAATCCTCCCCACCTTTCCCCCGGCACGATTCAAAGATTGTCCATAGGATTTAAAAAAAAAAATCTGGTTCAGGACTTTTGAAACTCTCCAAGCAAGCAGCGCGGTATGGCTGGGTGAAGAACGACGACACACACTTTAGGGCACTCATCGGTGAAGCTGCTGCATAGCGTGGGGGGTGGAGAGGTCGCAGGCTCTGGGTTCCGTGACCCCCCCCACCCACCCCTCCACTCCACTCATCGGATTGCAAAAGTCATCTCGGGATTGTTACTCGACGTTAAGACGGTGTGTGTGTGTGTGCTCAGATTGCCTTTGCAGGATTTCGGCATGTGCCGGTGAGCTTTAGGTTTTTTGTTGTTGTTACGATTGCTTTCATTGTTTTTGTATGTTTGATTAAAAGGTTCAAAATGAATAGGGCACTAATGCGTGGTGTCAGCAGGTAAGTTAACGGGAAGGGGGAGGGGGGAGTTTATAAAAACATGTATTGATTTCACGACCGATATTATCCACAAGGAGGAATGTAAATCTGAATGTGTCGTTAAACCCGACACAGCCCAATTAGTAGGCCGGCACATAAAACAAAACGTGCCAATTCGTTACTAGTTCAGCACACCGGTGTGTTGGAGAGTGAACCCACAACGTTGCTGTACTCGTAACGAATTTCCATGGTTTACGTGAGAAATCAGTGCAGCCGCGGCAGTGTGGAGCTGTCACGGCTACGGGTGCCCACCCCACCGCACAAGTGTGTCCTATTGCAGGTATGTTTAACTTCTTATGCACCGTACGTAGGCCAAACGTGCTAAAAAAAATCGGAGGTGCGCGGGAAGGTCAAACCGAGCACGCAAAAATCAGTACGAAATAAATAAATTATCAATGTAGTATAGTGGCGTAGTGTATAGCAGTGCCGTGTATAGTAGTCTGTATGAATAACTTGTTGCGCACCGCATAGAGCCAACAGTGCGAAATCGGGGGTGCGGGGAGAAAGACGGTAAACTAAAAACACAAAAAGGCGTTCTAGAGTAATTGCGTTTTCAATGTTGTACAGTGGTGTAAAGTAGTGTACAGTAGTGTGTATGTAGAACTTCTTTCACACCGTACGTAGGCCAGCCGGTGCTACCTCGCGAGGTGCGCGGCAAGGACAAACCAAACCCAAAAAGGAGTGCTAAATAAATGGGCAGCGCTAAACACGGAGCCGCGATAGCCCACGGAGCCAGAGAGCCCACGGAGCCAGAGCCCACGGAGCCAGAGAGCCCACGGAGCCAGAGAGCCCACGGAGCCGCGATAGCCCACGGAGCCGCGATAGCCCACGGAGCCGCGATAGCCCACGGAGCCGCGATAGCCCACGGAGCCAGAGAGCCCACGGAGCCAGAGGGCCCACGGAGCCAGAGGGCCCACGGAGCCAGAGAGCCCACGGAGCCAGAGAGCCCACGGAGCCAGAGAGCCCACGGAGCCAGAGAGCCCACGGAGCCAGAGAGCAGCAGCAGTAAGACGACGGCCGAATGCACCCACGGGGGGAGAGGATCAGGGGCTAAACGTCGCGTGAACGTCGCGTGAACGTCGCGCCAAGAACAGCCTCCAACCCACCCACGTCACCCGCAAAGACAGTCGCGTCGCTAGCGCGTCTCGGCTCGTGCAGTGGGGAACAAAATAAACCAGCTCGGCACGGGTGTTCCAGTGGGAAGAGCAAGCGGGTATATCACCTATGAAGACCAGGGAGGCCAGCACACACGATCACACCCCCCTCCACCCTCGGCCTACTGCTATGACCGCACACACCACAGCACCACCACCACCACACCAAGGGACGACTCATTTAAAGGCCGAGTCGACCGAGGGGAGATATTCAGATTCTCAAATGGAAAGCAAGTCAGGATCAAGCATCACAGATTGGCGGAAGAGGGCAGTCAGTGAACTATTAGCGCATAAAAAGGCAGAAGTTCCCCTTACAGCCTTAGTGGACTCTTAGGAAAAGTGTCACCACACACGCGCACAAAAGACAAAGATCCCTCATATAGCGTTAACAGAATGTTGGGGCAAGTGCTGTTAGCGAGCATCTATGAAGGCCGAGGCCACGTCCGGCCGCCTTCATCTCCCTGGTGACGATGTTTTACAGATCGCACCAGGTATTTATTTGAGGCAGAGTCGACCTAGGGGAGGCCCAGGTCCAGTTCAGATAATCGTCACCGGTGTCGGCCGTAAGTGGGAATCGAACTCGGGTCGCCGGGGTTTGTAGCACAGCATAGCGCCAACCACTACACTACCGCTCCCCACACACACGCGCACAAACACGTGCACGCGCACGTGTTTGCATTGCAGGCTAGCCCAGCTTGTGTGAATATTTACCGTAAGCTTTCATTATATGCTGTCGAGCCATCAGTAGTACGTTTAAAAAAAAGAACCTTAACACAGCACCACAATTGTGCGCGCTTAAGTGTTACACATTAACGCTAAACATTAAGCCGTGATTTTTGGGGCGTCGTTCAAACATGCCGCGCAACAAAACACGCCAACACAGACGCGCATTACGTCATCTCCGTGTGTGTACACATACGCATGCCGGGTAAATGGGAACTGTCATAGGGATGTGGAATTTCCACCACTGGCTCCGGCAGGGCTGCCGACTGCAGAGGGAGGCCCCGGCGGGGTCTATTGCTTGTTTGAGCAGCGATACTTTGGGGGGGGGGGGGGGGGTGTCTAAATGGTGCAAACAAAAAACACAGCATCTAGAATTAGGTGGAGATACTTACGCGTGCAAAAAACCCACAGCACGTTGTGTGTGTACGCCACACGGTGTCCAGGTGAAGGGAGCGGGATATCTGCGAGCCTGTCACCCCCACGCCACTGCTGGCAGATGGAGGAGGCTCCGTTAGCGAGAACTCAAACGCTGGCTGGACGTATCGGAAAGAGCTGGGAGCACCCACACTTTGCGCGATGTTAACTACCTCGCCTGGCTTACAGGAGTTCGTGGGCTCGATCCCAAGCCCTGCTGTATATAGTTGACGTGTCTCCCCATGGGCGGCGTGGATTTTTCTCTCCGGGTCCTCCGGTTCCACGCTTTCAGAGGATTTGGCTGCTGCTATAAATTCCCACGTGATGATGATGATGATGATAAGCCCACTTCGTCCAGCTATCATTTGTGACAGCCAAGTCGCGTCTGAAAACGAGTTACACACATCAGGGTGGGCCTTACCTGGTAAAATAAAAAAAGATTAGTTTATTTTTCATTGGCTAACTGCAGCAAATTCCCATTCACAACTACTGCTGGGTGGGCCAGAGGTGGCGGTGGCATCTACAGCTGCAGAACGTGAAGAGGCGGTGGCATCTACATCTGCAGAACGTGAAGAACCAGTGGCATCTACATCTGCAGAACGTGCAAAAACCAGTGGCATCTACATCTGCAGAACGTGAAGAACCAGTGGCATCTACATCTGCAGAACGTGAAAAACCAGTGGCATCTACATCTGCAGGAGGTTATACGACTGTTAAAAGCCATTCCCCGTGTTTATTGTATACGCCCTACAACATGTAGGGCGTATACACTTGTAAACAAGTCGATTTACGAACAGACCTCTGGAACCTAACGTGTTCGTAAGTAGGGGAGTCTCTGTACATGTTATACCATTAACATGTTGTGTCTAAGATAAAGACACAGATCCCCCCCCCACGTGTAGCTTTGACAGACCGTAGGCAGAAGTGCTCTTTGGGAGCACCTACGAAGGCCGGCACGATACACGAGGGGGTGGGTGGCCAGCATCCCCCAGTGGCGATGTTCACACACCGCACCAGGTACTCATTTGCGGTGGAGTCGACCTAGAGGAGGCCCAGGACCGGTTCAGATAATCGTCACCGGTGTTGGTGGCCGTGAGCCGGATTGGGAACGTGGGTCGCCGGGTTCGTAGTGCAGCGGCGTTAACCGCTCCACCACCAACGATGTGCACACGCGCACCTACAGCATGTTGTTGAAAATCGGCTACGTGTACATAATGTACACGCACACCAGGGTCTGTGTAAATATACGTGTATGCAAAAAACACACGCGGCGAGACGTTTACATTTTTCAATAGCACTTGCAAAACGTAGCACTGCGAATGTGAAGCAACCAAGAATTTGGACCGCGTGTTGTAAAAAAAGGACTTTCAATTTTTTTGCATTCTTCTACCCCAAGCAACAGCAGCAGCAATGTTTCGTACATCTATTTACACACACACACACAAGCACCCGTTTTATATACAGACACTTAAGACTATGCCGTCATTTGCTGGATATGTATGTATACAGTACTTTCACACGCACATTTTTTTTAAAATGGCACTACACAGATGTACACAACGGAAGCGTAAAGCTTGCACACAGCTTGCCAGGGCAAAGTGTTGCTGTTTGCAAGCACCCATTAAGGCGACCCATCACAGCGCAACAGAAAGGGAGTTTTGCAGCTGACGCTACTCTCTGCCACCTATGTCTCTCCAGTGTTGGAGATTTGTTTCACACCACGCAAACCAGGCACCTCATTTTGAGGCTGAGCCTACCTTGCACGGCCCAAGGTGGGGGTGGTTCAGACACCACCGCTGAGTCGTGGCCAGGAATCGAACATGGGATGGTGCCTGCCTGGCTCCGCAGTGTGCTAACCCACTGTGCCACCGCTCCTCACACAGTGCCGATGCAACAGCACATACCGTACAGGTAGGTATTACACGACACAGGCTGTGTATTACAGAAGTAGTGCACACATACGCACGCGCGCGCACTTAATGCATAGTGTAGATGAGTAGACACACACATATAGGTACATTCACAATATATAGCATACAGAAAATACTATACAGTATAAATATACACCGTTTCAGCAATATTATAGGCACATGTATTTAAAATATCTGCACGTGAACATGATGTTACACGTATACAAAACATATACAAGACCAAATATATACAAATAGAGACAAAGATCCCCCCCCCGTATAGCCTTCAAATGACTATTCGGGCAAGTGCTGTTAGCGAGCAGCACCTGTGAAGGCCGACACAGCACACGAGGGGGTGAGTGGCCAGCACCACTCCTGGCCGCCTTTGTCTCCTCGGCGGCGATGTGTACACACCGCACCAGGTACTCATTTGAGTCCGAGTCGACCTAGGGGAGGCCCAGGAACGGTTCAGATTATCCATCGCCTGGTGGTGGCCGCGATCGGGACTCGAACCTTTGGTCACCGGGTTCGTAGCGGCACTAACCGCTGCACTACTGCTCCCGACACACACACACACAGTGGACACTGGCACACGCGCGCACACACACACACACCACTCTACAGGTTCTATACAGCAGAGTCAAAATAAAGACATGTGCATATACCATTCCATCATATACTACAGCGGAAATGTACCGCGTGTGTATACGCGCGCACGCAGCGATGCAAGCATATACGCACACGATAAACCTCAACATCCACAGGTGCGGCGGGCTGGCGGCTAACCATTAGCCGGTGATGATGAGCTAAACAGTGTTAATAATTACGGATATAGCCATTTGTAAACCCAGGGTGTGTTTAAAGAGGTTTCTAGCGAACCACGTGCGGACGGTCCAAAAAAATAAAAAAACCTTGCAATTTTCTTGGCCTCCGTGAAAATATTTGTCAGCGGCAAACACAACGGACGCGTAGTGTGGTTTCGACGGGCCTTGGAGATGGCCACACGTACACACACACAAAACACCCATTTTCCAAACATTGGGGAGCCCAACTATAAAGTTCGCACAAAATGGGCCACGGGACACAAAAATTAACAAAACATTTTGATGCTGCCAAAACTTAACAAAAAAAAAAGTGTAAATCGAATTAACAACGAACGAAAAACTAAAAGATAGCTGCAGAAACACAAAGACCGGACATTGTCTTAAGGACAACCAAGGAATTTGCACTCCGAGCACAGCTGCATCATGAAGAAGAAAGCAACCGGGAAGGAGGAAAAATAACGGCCCTCGCCCGCGTGCCGCTATCTCGTGCTGTGCCGCTATCTCGTGCTGTGCCGCTATCTCGTGCCGTGCCGCTCACGTGACGGAACGACGTTATTTCGAGACACCGTCCCGAACGGCACGCGGCAGAGGATGCAAAAAAAAAACGCACGGGGGAGAGAGAGAGAGAGCGAGCGAGCACATGACTGGAACAAGACGGAAGTTACGAACGACAAAAAAAAATAGACGGTCGCACGGCTGCGCTTTGTCCCACCGCCTAAAACGAAACAGCTGCACGTAAAACGCCCATTTCCGACGAGCAACAACGACAAAATGACTTGTTAAAAAAAAAAAGAATCTCCGCCCAAAAACGAAAAACTCCAAACGCGGAATCAAAAACGTGCACACGCAACGGAAATCTAAATTTGGTGAGGTCACAAACAAAAAAACCTAAAACAAAGACGAACAACCACCCCGACAAGACAAAACTCACACTAAAACACACACACACACAAACTCTAAACAGCTGCACTGCAACAACAACGGCCAACTAAAAAAAAACTGCCCACGAGATTTAAAACGGCGCTCGAGATGTGCTAGAGATGTATTTTACGCACGGCCAATAAACACAACGGCCGCCATCTTCCACGGGTTACCGTCAGGTCGGGTCGCCACCTCGGGGTGGCGTGGGTAGATAAATAGCCTCGCAACAATACCGCAAGTGGAGGGGGGGGGGGAAGAGATAAAACGTGAACGCATCGTCGCCTTTCGAGCGGCGGACCTCGTGTCATTTTCACGGCTGACAAATATCGCGACGCGAGACGTTTCGCGTCCTCGGGCGTTTATCAGCAGCAGCAGCAGCGGCGGCGAAACAATGACTCAAACGGAGAAGAGGAACGTCCTCGGCGAAGGACGCAGCTTCCCCAGGAGCAAGGTCGGCCACAGCCACAACGACAGAGACGCACGCACGGAGAGGGCGAACCCCGGGAACAATAACCAGGACGAAAGGCGATGGCGGCGTCGTCAGCCCTGGATGAACGCCCGCGTCTCGCTGTGCAGCTCCGCGTCACTGTCCTCGTCCATGAAGCCCTCGTCGGGCGCCTTGGCGCTCAGCTCCTCGTACGACACGGCCATTCCCCCTCCTCCTCCGCTCTCGCCGATGTCCCCGCAGCAGCAGTAACCGCCGCCGCCGCCGCCGCCGCCTTCTCCGCCGCCGCCTCCACCGCCTCCACCGCCTCCGCCGCCTCCGGCCGAGGTGAACCACACGGTCCTCAGGGCACGGGCGCCGGCGCCGCACTCGCCGGAGCGCAGCTGCAGGACGGCGAAGAGGGCGGCGAAGAGGGCGACGGCGGCGACGCAGGCGACCGCGGCGGCGCGCCGCAAGTCCACCAGCGGCGGCGTCGTCGTCTCGGGAGACGCGCCGCCGCCGCCGCCGCCGCCGTCGCCGTCGCCGGACGACGAGAGGGAGAGCGGAGGGGACGCACGGCCGACCTGCGGCTGCGGGAGGCAGCGCGACGCGACGAGGCGCGAGTGGGGAGCGCACGAGAGGCACGCGGCCGGGCCGGGCCCCCAGCACGACACGCACGATGCGTCGCACTCCTCGCACAGCGACGGCGATGAAGAAGACGACGCTCCAGCCGCTGCCAACCGCGGCGGTGGAGGTGATGACGACGACAACGACGACAACGACGACGGTCCGCCGCGGCTCGGTGGAAAATGCTGCTGCCAGTCATCTCGCTTCCACTGCTGCTCCGTCACCCGATGCTCCTCCCGATGCTCTTCCCGCTCATCCAAATCCTCCGGCCCCCACTGCCGCTCCCGCACCCACCGCCTCCTCCTCCTCGCCCCCCCAGGCTGCTGCTCCTGCTCCCTGGCGAAGGTGCCGTTGGGACAGCGCTGCACGCAGCCGTGGCCCAGCAGCAGGAAGGGCGGCCTACACTCTGCCAGACAACACCGGCGGCGCGGCGCACGACAGCAGTAGCACGGCACGCGCCACCACCACCGCCAGCAACACTGTCAGCCGACGTGCGTCAGCAACCGCTCCAGCAACTTTCCCCGGCGTTCATCCCTACGGGAGGTCGGCGCCAGCTCAAATTGGGCATGGGCGTATTCTGGGAGGATTGGCGGGGTGGGCGGGCCCCCACAAGTGGGAGGTGGGGGGATGAGTTGGTGAGCGAGTGGATGGGGGTGGCGATGATGCGGAGGCGATTGAGTGGACGGGTGGGCAGGTGGGCGGGTGGATGGGTGGGCGGTAATGAGTAGGTGAGCTGATGGGCGAGTTGTAAGGATGAGTTGGTGAGCGGATGGGCGAGTGGATGGGTGGGTATAGCAGGCGAGTGGGTCAGTGAGCGGGTACGGATGAGCGTGCGAGCGTGTGCGGTGTGCAGACGAGAGGGCGAGTGGATGGGCGACAGTGGGTGGGTTGACTAGTAGGGCTAGTGGTTGGCACAGCCAAGCGGGTTGTGGGCGAGTGGGGGGGTAAACACTCGAGGAGCTACAGCTGCCACGCGATGGTCGGGTCACTGCGGCAGCTAAACGATCCCGTGGTGCTCGGGAGATGTGCTCGGGGAAAAACCGATCATTAAAAGAAAAGCAACCGCACGCTGCAAGCTCCAACACAGAAGAGTGCTCCCCCCCCCCCCCCCGCCAGTGACGTTCAGAGACACCGGGAGAAGCCAGAACGTGGTCGCAAACCTCGAGAGACACGGTTAACTACTGGTGAGAGTGCTTCGGAAGGGGTGGTGAGAAGGCCCGCACCACGCACACACAAACCACAGCTCCATGCCAAGTTCTCCCGACTCAGGGCAGTTGGCAGCAGGGTGATGATAAATTATAATACTAACTTAACATGATAATATTCTATGGTTCTTTCGGTAAAGTCACGTAGATAGAAAAAATAACAATAAAGAATGAAAATAAAAATAAAGTTGCTGCCCTGCCCATCTCTAAACCTTTATAAAACAGCCTGCGTCAGCAGCTTTCCCCCCATTTTTTCACCTGATGACGATGGCTTGTGTGGCGATCGAAACGCCGTGATATTCTTATTTCTTTTATTCACTTTATTTTCATTTTTGTTATTTTAATTTTATTATTAGATTTTATAGCTACGTGACTTTATCCAGGAAAGGCACACAGAGTCGTCCGACTCAGATTCTCGAAAACGGTCCAGAGTTTTTGCTCGCTTGACCAAGCACTCCTGGATGGAGTATTTGGCCTGACAATCCAACAGGAGGCCGATGTGGGTACATCAAATTCCGTTGTATCTACATAGCGTGGAGACGCTGAACGCAGCACTGCTTATAACATTTCATTTTTCAGAGGACCGTGGCTTGCATGCTCTGGGCACACAACGTGAACACAGTGCAACAGCAACAACAACAACAAAGTCCACCCCCATCACTCTCCCCACCAAACCCGGAGGAGAAGAGAAAAGGTCACCTTTCCCAAAGCCAGGTCCCCCCCCACATCGGAGCAGGTCGAGTTGCGCAACTCGGTGGGGGGCATGCAACCGAAATGGCTGATGCAGGACGTCCCTACCGACCGGTCGCAAGGGAGAAGTTGCGCCAAACTGATTGCGAAAGCGAAAAATAATATATCGACTTTCGAGCGACCGATCGGTTCGGCGACATGGTAAGGGACGAGTTTCGTCACCACGTGTTGGTTTGGGGAGGGGGGCTACCCAAGAAGAAGGTGGGGGGCTCTGCTGTCAAGGGGCATGGCGAGACACCTTCGCCGTGCCTCCCCCCCCTTTCTCGTTGCGCAACCACCTCGGATGCAGACGTGGCAGCCGGGGAGGGGAGGGGGGGGGGTGGTGACGATTAAGGTGCACGACGGTGTCTGGAGCGGTGCGCCGGGTTTAAATCGCGCGACCGGGACCCACAGTGCGAAAAGAGAAGCGCCAAGCAGCGAAAGGACAAGACGACCACACGTGTGACGATCCCTTACCCATTCCCCACTCATCAGAATCTCCGCTTGGCTTAAATAACTTAACGGGGGGGAAGGGTGGGGGCGGGGGGTTTACTCCCAGAGGTTTTTTTTTTACCAAACTTTGGAGGGGGGGGGGGGGTTGGCATTTGCGAAGACACCCGTGGTTGAAAGTTGAAACTTGGATTGGTCGACATTACGGGGACCGATTTAGTCAAATTTAGAGATTTTTTTTCCTTTTTTTCTTAGCCGAGGAAAGTTTTCTGGTAAGAAATTCAACGTCCGTCACCAACACCGCGTGCTCGGGGCAACCACGACAATCACCCATCGTCAACAACCCAGTTAACGATTCAACCGCCATCTTCCCACCACCACCACCACCACCACACACCAGCAGCAACTCTCAACTGTCCATTTTGTCATCCATCTCTTTAAGCTCCACGGCATTTCCACACCCCAAGTATCACATCATAAAATCAACCTCCAACCGCCAGCAAGCAATGGTCGACCACGATCGACTCTTCAATAAATTGCAAGCACCGTTCATTCCGCCCCCGCCAACAGCCAACCCCGGTGGCCCGTCAACATCCAAAACTCGACATGCCACCACCGCAAAGCGCCAACCACCACAAACATCCAACTCCCATCAATCGTTCAACAATTGCCTTGAACCACCATTCAATCTCACTGCATCAACCACCACCACCAGCACCAGCACAATCCATCCGTCACCACATGGCGGCTACCGTAATAATCAGCGCCCCCCTGCCCTGGTCTGGCTCGAGGCTGCTGTGCCCCAGCGGGGGTCTTCGGGAACCCCCCGCCCCACAGTGGCGAGGGGGTCCGTGAGGGCGGTGCCTTGCCTGCCTGGGGGAGGGGGGGGGGGGGGGTCACACTCACCGCACGCTCCTCCTGCCTTCCCTGCCGGGCCCTATCCTGCTTCCTGCCTAGCCTAGGGCGGCAGCCCCCGGCGCGAGCGCGCCGCCTGGGGGCCCCCGCACGGCCGCCAGCGCCACCAACGACGCCGCTGCCACAGCCGCCGCGATCCTGCGTGAGCCGAGCAGCACAAGCACGAGAGTGCGCGGGGAGACACGTAGAGACACGTAGAGACACGTAGAGACACGTAGAGACACGTGGGCGTACGGGGAGACACGTAGAGACACGTAGAGACACGTAGAGACACGTAGAGACACGTAGAGACACGTGGGCGTACGGGGAGACACGTAGAGACACGTAGAGACACGTAGAGACACGTAGAGACACGGGAGCGCACGGGGAGACACGTAGAGACACGTAGAGACACGTAGAGACACGTAGAGACACGTAGAGACACGTAGAGACACGTAGAGACACGTAGAGACACGTAGAGACACGTAGAGACACGTAGAGACACGTGAGCGCACGGGGAGACACGTAGAGACACGTAGAGACACGGGAGCGCACGGGGAGACACGTAGAGACACGTAGAGACACGTAGAGACACGTAGAGACACGTAGAGACACGGGAGCGCACGGGGAGACACGTAGAGACACGTAGAGACACGTAGAGACACGTAGAGACACGGGAGCGCACGGGGAGACACGTAGAGACACGTAGAGACACGTAGAGACACGTAGAGACACGTAGAGACACGTGAGCGTACGGGGAGACACGTAGAGACACGTAGAGACACGGGAGCGCACGGGGAGACACGTAGAGACACGTAGAGACACGCAGAGACACGCAGAGACACGCAGAGACACGTAGAGACACGTAGAGACACGTAGAGACACGTGAGCGCACGGGGAGACACGTAGAGACACGTAGAGACACGTAGAGACACGGGAGCGCACGGGGAGACACGTAGAGACACGCAGAGACACGCAGAGACACGCAGAGACACGTAGAGACACGTAGAGACACGTAGAGACACGTGAGCGCACGGGGAGACACGTAGAGACACGTAGAGACACGGGAGCGCAGGGGGAGACACGTAGAGACACGTAGAGACACGTAGAGACACGTAGAGACACGTAGAGACACTAGAGACACGTAGAGACACGTAGAGACACGTAGAGACACGTGAGCGTACGGGGAGACACGTAGAGACACGTAGAGACACGGGAGCGCACGGGGAGACACGTAGAGACACGTAGAGACACGTAGAGACACGTAGAGACACGTGAGCGCACGGGGAGACACGTAGAGACACGTAGGGACACGTAGGGACACGTAGGGACACGTAGGGACACGTAGGGACACGTAGGGACACGTAGAGACACGGGAGCGCACGGGGATGCAAGGACACACTGCGCTGCACACGGGGAGACACTGTTATGCAATGGAAGACGCGGGGGATGCAAGGGGAGGGCATGGGAAGACTTCGGGGACGCACGGGGAGACAGCCGGGATACACGGGGAGGCTCAAGGAAGATAGGGGGACGCACGGGGAGTCACAGGGAGGTGAAGACATGGGAACATACGCGAGCGGCAGAGAGGAGATGTGCGGGTAGTTGAAGGCAGATACGGGGGGAAGGGGTAGGGGTGGAAATGCATGGGGAGAGCAGACGGAGGTAAAACGAGAAACGTGGCATGGCGTGTTTCGCCAGGCGAGCGATAGCGTTCACCCGAGTGATGGAGGGTGGTGGCAAGCGTCGGAAGCACCACGCTCACCGCTCTCGGGACCGCGCTCACGAGCGCCGGCGAGCATTCGCGCGGCGAGTTAAGGAGCCGGCGAGGGTGGGCGGACGAAGGCAATGACGCGTCCGTGAGTGTGCATACACACGTGCGTGAAAACGCGTGCGTCAGTGTGTGTGTGTGTGTGTATATATGTGGTGTGCATGGGAGCATCCGAGCGTGCGCACGGGAGCGTGTGCGCAGGAGCACGAGTGTTGCGCGAGCGAGTGAGCGAGCGAGCGAGCTAGCGGTCCACGTACCCACACAGAGCCCCGCAGGGTCGCGTGCTCGGCAAGCGACGCTCGACGCCACCGTGGGGACGCCCTGCAGGCTGCGCTTGCGGTGAGCGGTACCGTATAGCACCAGCGTGAACCGCTTCAGCGTGCCTGCAGGAAACACGCGCACGAGTGGCGGTGGTGGTGGTGGGGGGGGCGGGGAGGGGCAACACAAGGTTACCCACGGCCAGCACCAAGACGACATCGTTGTCAGGGCGTGGTCCAGGCCCAGGATGGAGTTCACGTTGGCGAGCAGCAGGTCGGCAGCTGCCGTACGTATGGACACAGATCGCCGCGGTCCTCCTCTCCACGCGCAAGGGGAAGGGAGGGAGAGGTAGGGAGGGGGGGGGGGTGTAGTGGATGAGGGGGGGGGGGTAGTAACGGGAGCGGTAGGTGGCTGGAGCGTGGAATAGGCGGACGGAGCGAGGGAGGGGGGGGCGTGCGTGCGAGCGAGCGAGGCCCTGGTCCCCTCACCGGTGTTGCGGACGCTGCCGATATTCTCCAGCTCCAGGGTCCACACCCCCGTCGGGTCCTCGCCCCACGAGTGGGTGCTCATGAATGCCCAGTCGTTGAAGCCCTCCGTCGAGAAGTCGTGAGGCCTGCGGAAACAACGTCAACGTCGTCGTCACCGTCGCGTTTAACGCAAGCGACGAGCACGGACATCGCCGCGCAGGGGTTCCCCGTCGCACTGTAAACGCATATCGCCGACACCCGGGCACGTACGCGCAAATTGTACCGCGCGTTGCTCGGCGAACGGTGGCGCAAGCGGTTAGCGTGCTGCGCTACGAACCCGGCAGCCCGGGGGTTCGATTCCCGCTTGCCACCGCTGCCGCCGCCACCCCCACCGATTATCTGAACCGGTCCTGAGCCTCCTCTAGGCAGAGTCGGCCTCGATTTGAGTACCTGGTGCAGTGCGTGTAAAAACAAATCGCCACTGGGGAGACAAAGGCGGCCCGGTGTGGTTGCTGGCCACCCACCCTTCGTGTGCCGTGCCGGCCTTCAAAAAAGGCGCTACTCGCCAACGCCACTTGCCCCAAGTCTGTTAAAGCTCCACGGGCGATCTTCGTCTTTGTTCGGCACAAGATCCGACGTTTTACTCCCAGCAGCAGCGGCACGCACCACCCCCCCTTACCCCCGCTCCCCCCCCCCCCCCCGCGCTCTCACCGGGGTGCCAGCAGCGTGCAGCGGGTGCCCATTGGGCTGGTGAGACGGATCGCCAACTCCCCGCGGTGGCTGAACGCCAGCGTGAGGCGTGCCTGCACGTGCTCCAGCGTGGTGACGTAGTCGCCGGTGCCCAGGCAGGAGCTCACTCGCCCACTCACCAGCAGCTTCTGTCCTATGGGGCTGTGCGGGATGGGGGGGGGGATGGGGGGAGGGGCACAGCGAGGGTCGGGGGAGAGAGTTGGCGGTGAGCGAGCCAACGGCGGTGCAGCGTTTTTAGCGCGCTGCGCCGAGAAGCCGGCGACCAGAGTTCGATTCCCCACTCGTCGCCAGTGACATGATCGTCCAACGCGGTACTGGGCCTGCCTCACCTCGGCCGTGTGTAAACACCGTCACTCGGGAGATAAAGGCGGCCGGGCGTGGTGTGCGAGCGAACGAGCGAGCGAGCGACAGACCTCACGAATGAACGTGCAAGGGAATGAGCGTGCAAGGGAGCGGCTGAGAGCGGGGGCGAGTAAGCGAGCGACGGAGTGAGCCGGTGAATGCGTAAGCGAGAGGAGCCAGCGAGCGTGCCGGTGAGCGGTGACTCACCGGGTCTCAGTGCTCATCTCCAGCGTGCAAGCCCGCTGCGGGGGAACGGTCGTCCAGTTGCGAGCGAGCGTCACGATGGCGCCGGCGTCGAGGAGACCGTAGCCGTACGAGTGGCTCACTGCATGCACAAAGACAAATGTCTCCTGTGTAGCCTTAACAGACTGTTGCGGCAAGTGCTGTTAGCGAGCACCTATGAAGGCTGGAACGGCACGAGGGGGTGGGTGGCCGCCTTCGTCTCCCTAGTGGCGGAGTTTACACACAGCACACGGAACTCATTTGAGATGGAGTCGACATAGGGGAGGCCAGGGACCAGTTCAGAAAATCGACACAGGCGTTAGCCGTGAGCGGGAATCGAACGCGTGTCGCCGGGCTCGTAATGCAGCGCGCGCTAACCGCGACACTACCGCTCCCCATCACAGACGCACGCACACGTGCACAGGCAAGCAAATACCAAGTCACGCACACAGAGATGGGAACGCACTCTGCACGCACGCGCACACAAGAGATGCATGCATTGATTAGACAGAGACTCCCCACATAGCCTTTAACAGACTGTTAGGGCAAGTGCTGTTAATGAGTAGCACCTAGGAAGGTCGGCCGTGACGCACGAGGGTGTGGGTGGGCCAACACCACGCCCGGCCGTCTCGCGCACGCACACAGACACAGACAGACACACGCAGAGATGCAGACAAATACGCAGAGCCGCAAAGACTCGTGCACCAGCTTAAACTACAGATGCATGCGCACCCTATCTCATGACCTTCGTTTAGCACAGTTGGGCGCACACACAGTCCGTTCAGGCTATACATACAATCCCCGGCTGAGACCACAACTCCTCTGCACACGATGACCCCGTTAAAATCGCGGGTGGACGGACAGACAGACAGACAGACAGGTCGGCGGGAGAGCTGGACTCAGACCCGGCACCTCGGTGGGGGAAGTACGCGGTGAGCGAGCGTCACCTTTGCGACCGACACCATTGGTCACCCAGTCGGAGGCGTGAAGGTGCGAGGGGTTGGACGTGCGAACCACCAGGTGCTGCATGTCCCTCCAGGTGAGACGGGGGCTGGTGACACAGCCGCACGGATAACAGGCAGCGACACTCGTGATAATTACTGTGGCTAACGTGACACTCGCAATAATTAAAATAATTACACGACCCATGTGACAGCATAGATAGATGGCACGACGTCAGGGAGGGGGGGGGGTCTAACGGGACAATGTGTCTCACTTGGCCTCGAGCGCAAGCGCGATGATGCCAGCGGCCAGCGGGGCCGAGGCCGACGTGCCCGTGTGGCTCTCCGTGCACTTGAGCCGCAGGTCCGTGGTCACCTTGGGGGGCGGGGGCGGGAGGGGACGGTGTTTCAATGCGGGAGGCGGCTTCAACGTAGGGTGGGCAGGGAGTTCACCAAGCGCAGGGCAGTCGCGAGAGGGCGAAATCGGAGAGTTCGGGAGGTGAAGGCAGTTAACAGATTAGGGTGGCAATTTAAACAAAAGGGGGCGCGCGCTTGAGAGAGGCCAGCAGTTTGAAGGCGTGCGGGGGGTTGGCGGTGGGAATTTTGGCAGGGAGGTAGCCGAGAGAGGAAGACGGTGTCGACCCCAAGCGTAGACAGCGGCAGCTACGGAGGGGACGGCGGCGACGGTTGACAGGTGGGGTTTATTGGTCCCCCTGGTTATGCTCACAATCTGCTTCTCGCCGATGGCGCCGCTACTGTAGGTGGTGGCGAGCGTGGAGGAGCACGCCTCGCTGTACCACGGCACGTTGCCCTTCTCCGTCGTGCTGCTGATGGACAGCGTGTAGATCGAGTTGGTGTAGCCGTCGCAGTTGCAGCTGTCCTTCTCGCGACCGCCGTTGCCCGAGGCCCACACGAAAATGGAGCCCAGTCCGCCGCGGCCCTGCGAGAGAGGGACAATGGGGGGGGGGGGGGGGGGGGCCCACACCTCCCCGGTTCAGGGGGTCGCGACGGCCGCGGCAAAGACACGGAGCCGCCACGGAGCTCGCGTCCACACAGAGCAAGGAACCGTTGAGAGCGCGTGCTCACGAGGAGCTGGTGCTGACATGGAGACCACACGGGGAGGGGGGGGGGGGGTCTTTGTCTCCCCGTTAGCTGCCGAGGTCGTGACGTGTTTGTTTTTATTTCATTTCCTGTTGCTCTATGGCTCCTGCACCGTTTCCATTCAGCTGCGATGGCACGTAAAATAAAGACTGAACGATTGATTCGAGTGCATGCGTGCGTGCATACGAGTGCGTCTTGGTATCCAGAGGTGTTTTTGGGTCAGATCTCGTACATTTAAATGTGTCGTTAAACCCGCCACCACCCAACAAAGCCATTAAGTAAGGTTTGTCAACAAAACGTGTAAATAAGTTACAAGGACAGTACACCGTTGTGTCGGAGAGTAAACCCACAACATTTACAATTTGAGTACGAAGTTTCGCCAACAATTACCACCAGCCTCATCAGGCGAGAACGAGTCTACGTGTTAAACTCTTGTGCCTTGGATATGTCAATTATCTCAGCCAGTGAACCCATAACACAGCCTGGGTCCTGTCCTACGACCTGCGTGCAGCAGCGAGCCTTCCACACTTCAGGTAACAGACTCAAGGTGCACTTAGCCTGGCACAATCGCCGCGGCAACGTCACTGCACACTGAAATGGTGAACGGCGACAACTGTTGTTGCCTTTGAACGTGTAGGTGTGCACAGTAGAACATCTCATAACGACCACCCCTGTTAACGGCTAATCGCTTAATGACGGGCTTCCAGAGCCAACTGTGTAGTGTATAGTAGTGTATAGAGTAGTGCTCCCATAGAGCCCAATGTGTATGCTTACCGGCCATTCCCCTGTTAACGACGGGCTGTTGTAGGAACAGTAAATGATATGCTTATGTACAGTATCCATTGTTTAAATGTTATAAAGTACTTTGTTGGGTGAAAAGGTGGTAACTTTCGATGGCATCGGAACGAATTAAGCCTTTAATGTGAATTCCCTACACTCGCTTGATGAACCAACGAACAGCACTTGCCCCAACAGTCTGCTAAGGCTATACCATAAGGGGGGTGGTTCTTCGTCTGTCTCTGCGTATCCTACGCAAGCGCCAGTACCTTGGTGATGCCCCGCACGAAGGCCTCCTGTGCGAGCCGCGCAGGGCCGTCCACCGTCTTGCCGTCATCCTCGGGCCCCCAGCTGGCGCTGTAGACTGCAATGTGCTGGGGGTTGAGGCTCAGCGAGCGGGCCTCCACCGCGTCCGTCACGTCCCCGTCCAGCATGCGGACGCCTGGGAGGGCCGTGTGGGGGGGGGGGGGGGGGGAGACACGCACGGGGGGGGGGGGGAACCCGTGAGCGAGTGTGCGGATGGATACACGAGCGGGCGAGCCAACGGGCGAGGTGGGCGAGTGTTCGGCTTGGGCGAGGGCAACCGACGCTCACCGCCGATGCGAGCGTTGTAGGCGATGCCGACGCCGCAAACGTCGTTGTTTGCCGCGGCCGCAACCTCTCCGGCGCAGCGCGTGCCGTGCCTGCGGGAAAGACGGGCGAGAGAGCGTGCTCGCCAACCCCCGCTGGCACACCTCGCCCACCCGGCTGCCCATCCAATCACTTGCCCGTTAGCCCATTTACTCACTCGCCTGACCACTAGCCCCATTCACGGAACCACCAACCCATCCAAAACAACTACCGCCCCCCCCCCCCCACAAGCCCATTTCAATCACCCCACCAAAAACATCCGCTCACTCACCCGCTGGCACATTCAAACTTCACTTAGGCACTCGCTCATTCATCAACTCGCTCGTCTGCTCACCAACCTCGGTTGCCTGCTCGCCTACCTCACCCATCAACCCCACCCCGCTCCCCATTCACCCACTCGCCCAGCTCACTCGGGGACCTCACCTGTTGTCGTTCATTTCCGTGTAGCGCGGCTGGGGGTCGGGGTCGTTGCTGTTCACGTCATAGCTCGCCATGGGATCCTACTCGCACACACAAGGACAAAGATCCCCCCCCGCTCCGTGTAGCCTTAACAGACTGTTGGGGAAAGTGCTGTTAGAGAGTAGCACCTATGAAGGCCGGTACGGTACACGAGGGAGGGTGGTTGGCCAGCACCATGCCCGACATAGGGGAGACTCAGAACCAGTTCCGATAATCATCACTAATGATTACTGGTGTTCGCCGAGAGCAAGAATTCAACTCTGGTCACTGTATTCGTAGCGCAGCTCGCTAACCGCTACACTACCGCTCTACTACAACAACCCCTATTCGCCACTAAGTGGCGGTGACGTCACCACGGCGCTTGTGCCAGGCCAATTGCACGTTAAGGCCACGTGAAGTGTCGAACGCCCGCTGGCAGGAGGTCAAGGGGCAGAACCAGGTGCCATGGGTCGACTGACTGAGATGACTGGCCGATGCACCAGCTGTGCAGCACGCTAACCGCTGCACTCCCGCTCCCCACACACACGCTCACGCTCGCACAAACGCAGCCAGTACCCTTCGTGCGGCTGTCGAGACTTACAATGCCGCGCCGGTAACTGGTCCCAGGTTTTCTGGCCGGATACCACAGTGACACTGTGCTGGCTGCTGTAAATATCCACATGGCGGTAAAAAGCCACTTCACTGAGCTATCATTAGCGAAAGCCAAGTGGCTTCTAAAGCTATAAAGTAGCTCAGTGGGGCTTACATAGTAAAATAAACATACAGCAGAGACTCAATTATTACACAGGCAGTTTATTTTTTTCCCTTAAGCCCAAATTGATAATCTAAAAACAGTTATACATTGTTATTCTTGTAAATGTTTGTTGAAAATCACGTGTAATTAAAACATGTAAAACGAATAAATATGTACTCCGGTTAACCCGAAATCCACGTGATGGCCCCTAACAGTACAGTACAGTAGTTGCATATCTTTACAACGGTGGGTGGAGTTTGATTGTTGATTGGCGTGGCTCTGCAACCCACTTCGTGGGCCGAGTCTTCTGCACGGGAGCAGGAAAGCGTTATCACCGAGCACGTGTATTTATCACTCGATCGTGAGCGTGCGTTCTTCATTCATACCGATCATCAAGTGGTTCATACCGACAAAGTGGTTTTTGGCAAAGAGATCCGCGGAAATTTCATATTTTTTGGATCATCCGCGATTTTTTTATTATCCGCGGCGGTCCTCCCCCCCGTCATTAGCGCGGATAATCGAGAGCCTGCCGTAGTTTAATGTTATAGTTCAGTACTCAAGACACCCAGCCCCTGCCCCTCAACCGTGTCCACCCACCGCCACCGCCACCCGCCCCCAGAGCCGGACTCACATAGTTGGACACCAGGTCGGGGTGGTTCTTCTCGATGCCGTCGTCGAGGATGGATACGACGACACCGCGGCCCGAGACGCCCTGGCTCCACGCGGCGAGGACGTTCAGGTCGTGGTGCACGCTGTTGTGCTGCACTCGCGCAGGACGCAGGGGAAGGCGAACGATACTACAACAGCAGCTGCGGCAAATAGCCGCCGGTCGCCACCAAGTGGCGGCGACGTCGCCACGGCGCTTGTGCCAGGCTGGGTGCACCGAGGCCAGGTGATGCGTTCGATGGTTTGTTGCTGGCAGGTCGCGGGGCAGACCCAGGTGCCATGGGTTGACCTACTGAGATGACTGGCCGATGCACCACCTGTGCCCCCTACTGTGCCAACTTGCTGCGTTTTAGCCACCCGGTGCACCGCTCGTTATTGCGAGCGTCGCTCCTCATTGCGAGCGTCGCTCCTCCGCCCTTCGTTGTTGCTGGAGGGCGAATGCGTCAAACTGCCCAGTAGCAGCGTCCTTCACGAGCCTCTTCCACAACACGGTGCATTCAAAGCATTGCCATAAGACATTGCGGTCTCAAGCAATGCAATGTTGCGTCACTGTCATCTACTGCAATGCATTCTGGTGTGAATTGTAATGCATTGGTTTGTATTGTTACACGTTGGTGTGTATTATAATGCATTGGTGCATATTTTGTATTCATGTTAAACTTATTTTGCTCCGTACATAGGCAACTGTGCTAACCTCCATTAGCACAGTTGGCTACGTACTGAAATCGGCAGGAAAACACAAAAAGCAGTTCGATAGAAATTAGTTTTCAATGTAGACTTATAAATGCACAGACCCAGTAGATTCCTAGTACCGAAAAAGCATTCCAGACGGCCGCAGAAGAGCATCTGAAAACGGGCAATGCCGTGACCGTCTTTGTCCGATGGCTAGCAATGCATCGGTGCGCAATGTGTTAGCGTGCATTGTAACATGCTGGGGGTATAAAGGCCTCGGCATTGCATTCCATTACAATGCAAGGCATCTGCATTGTTTTCCGTTACATTACAAGGCACTGGTCTGCATTACATTACAATGAGAGGCGTCGGCGTGCATTGGAGAGTGCGGTGCACGTACCAGATACCACTGCAGCAAGTACTTGGGATCGGTGGGCTCCTGGAACAGCTCCCGTTTTCTCCGGGCCTTCACCACCTGCTGCTCGGCCCATTGCACCTGGGCGAAGGGCAGGGGAGGGGGGGCTTCACAGTTCAAGTTGATTTTGTGCAACCGGGCGTGAGGAAGTCAAACGGGGGCCCCCCGGGGGAAGGGGGGGGGGAATCGTCGACTCAGTGGTGTGGCCTGGGTCACGAAGTGAAAAACCCTCACCCACTCCCCGCATGACCACGACGTGACTGAAAGTCCACGGGTCGTCGCTGGCTAGACTAAGACGACGACTACCGGACGGGGACTGTGCCGTGTGATGTCATCTTGGTGTGCTCTGGGACTGTTTATTTATTTATATTTCGTGACTTGCTTACCATTCTCCGAAGTCGTGGGTTCAATCCTGACCACGACGCCTGCTGTATATTTGGAGTCTCGCTCTTTCCCCTGTGGTCCCGTGGATTTTTGTCCGGGTCCTCACGTTTTTGTTTTCCCTTCCGCATTTAGAATCAACATCGACGTGCCTTTCAGAGTATTTGGCTGCGATAAATGTCTACGTGACGATGATGAGCGCCACTTCATTGGGCGATCATTTGTTCGCTTTGGAAAAAACCACAGGCCTATAGAGCTTTAGTGGGCCTTACCTGGCAAAATAAAACACTTCAGTTTGTATTGTTTGCTGTTGTAACTTGCCAACCCACCCATATTGTACACTTGTACATCGGATTCTTCCACCAGTCTAAATAACGATTTCGATGATGAAAAAGCCCCACTAAATTTACACCAATCCACACGTGGCGGGGGAGTGGCCACGACATGTCACCACCGGCTTCTGACTAAGCACGAAAATCATCATCATCGAGAAAGAAAGAAAACAAAAAACTGAAAATGACAACCGCTTCACCAAGCGGCTCGCCCTCCCAGTGACGCCGCCGCCGCCGCCAAACGCCACCGCACCAAAAGGAGGAAACGCAATCCTGGCGGACGGTAAGGCTCAGAGCTGCTGTGTAGCTCTTTGTCGGAAGTGACCGGGCCCGTCACGAATTATAGCTCAACGAAGTGGCTTAGTTGATAGCAGCCAAATACTCGAAACTCGTGTTGCCGATTATAAATGTGGAGGGAAAAACCAGAAGGACTTAGGAGAAAAATGCAGGCGACCACGGGCAGAGACACGCAAACTCTAAACACACAGGCGTCAAAGGGTGCGCATCTATAACCCACGACATCCTGCACATCAGGCGAGGTTAGTCAAAATCTCAGGACCATGGGTGCTCTCGCCACCACGACGTCGTTGCGAACCAGGTCGCTTTGCGTCGACCCCTCAGGCTGACCTTCGACGGCCGGTGCGATTCATCGATCGATCCCTTGAGCGTGGCTGCAGGGACTCAGTTTTGGCCACAACGTGAAACTCGGTCTCGTTCCGTTTTCGCACAGTGGCGCAATTCAAATTGGCCACCCCCCCTACCCCCCCCCCCCCCCCCGAGGTGGCAGCAGCAGCTGTACCCAGGGAGACACGGAGACCGCTGGGCGTGGGATACCGTCTGGGTGGGAGGAGACTTTGCGGTTTGGCGACATTCACAGCTGCGTAAATGCAGAGCGATAAAAACCGCGAACTCGGCGGCGTCACAGCGCACGGAGCATGTGACCCGATCGTGGGGGCGGAGGAGGACAGGAAGTCTCTTGTCTGATGCGGACTTGATCAGAGACCGGTCTGTTAGTCCGCCATCGTCTCGAGAGCCCGTCAGAGACTGGAATGTCAAAAGCCTAGATTCTACAGAGCCCATCACAAACCAGTCTGTGCAAGTCTATTGTTGTCTAGGGACCCCCCGTCCGAGAATGGAATACCAAGCCTAAATTCTACAGAACCGATCAGAGACTAGTCTGCCAGTCTTCTATTCAATTTTTATTTAAAGCTTTCGTGACTGCAGGGATTCATATTCTTGGTTCTTTCGGTAGTCACGTAGAAGGGAAACAATAAAATCCAAAAAATATAAAACAATAAAATTCTCACGACGTTTCGACTGCTACACAAGCAATCATCATCCAGGTGTGAAAACCACAGCAAGAAAATTTACAGCAAGAAAAATTATTATTATTTTTCTTGCTGTGGTTTTCACACCTGATGATGATTGCTTGTGTTGCAGTCGAAAACCACAGCAAGAAAAAATATTTTTCTTGCTGTGGTTTTCACACCTGATGATGATTGCTTGTGTTGCAGTCGAAACGTTGTGATAATTTTATTGTTCCTCTTCTATTTATGTCTGGAGAGCCCATCTAAGACCGGTCACAAAATCGATCGTTGTATTGCGGTTGTTCTCAGAATGTGGTTCGCGAGTCTGCCAGGTGGTGACTGATGCAAACGCAGGTTGTGCCAGAATTAACAGCAACATATAGCCGTTTCATTTCAGACATTCAATTTATAAATTAATTCAATAAAATGAAGTTTGGTAAAATACCATAACCCCAAGATCCAAATGCCCTCCCTAAAAAAAAAATCTTTCAGCGCAGTAAAAAAAAAATTATGTTCCGGAAACATTAATCATTTAGCATTAGTGGTAGTTTAGAGATAAGTGAATGTGTTTTTTTTACCAGGGTTGGGGCTGGGTCGGTCTGCGGAAATGTTTGCATCGGCTCAGCGGTCCGTGGAACCAAAAAAAGTTTGAGAAACAACTCGTGCGTTGCGAGCGTCCACTCTGCGAGTGATATATTTAATTCTAGAGAGCTCATCGAAGACCACGGTCTCAAAGTCCATCGTTGTATTGAGAGAGAGAGAGAGAGATAGACCCCAAAAGAGACTACTCTGTGAGCGTGCTATTGGAGACAGCCTCATCAGGCGGGACTGTCCGCGCGCTGTCGATCGAGGTGGAGGGGGGGGGGAGTGTGTGTGACTTTACCTTGGGTTCCTTTTGCAGCTTCAGATTCCGGTTGTGATGTCTCGACAGGGATCGCTTTGCGACCGCCCGATGCCGGAAATGATAGTAATCCCCAAATATCTGTGACGACACGTACACACACACACACATATAGGACTCAAGAGGGCAAGTGCTGTTCGCAATCACCAATGAAGACATCAACAGAGCATGAAAGGGTGGTTTTTAGTCAGCACCACAACCGGCCACTTTTGCCAACCCAGTGCTCACGTTTAAAACACACCACGACAGGTACTTCCCCCGCAAGGCCGAAATAAGTCCACAGGAAATTTCACAACCCCCCCTCCAATTACAAATGCACCAAAATTATAACAGTCCCCATTCACGCTTAGGTGACGGTCACATCACCATAGAGCTTGCGCCAGGCTAGGTTTACTTCGAGGACATTATGAGAGTTGTCGAAGGCTCATTGTTAGCAGCTCACAACGACAGACCCAGGTGTTATGGGTCGACTGCCTGAAATGACTGGCACATGCACCCAATGTGCTCCACACAGTGCCAAAATTCAGTGTTTGTTGTTGCGAGCATCGCTCCTCCGCCCTCCGTTGTTGTTGCCGGAGGGCGACAAACTCCAACTGCTCGGCAGCTTCCTTCAGAAAAAAAAAGCTTCCTCCACCTGAGGCCGACCGACACCACCGGTAGCGGCTATGCGCACGTGTTCGCACCCACAGACGCGCCGCTCACTGCACAATCTTATCCGTTCAGAGCATTCGGTTTACTTAAGAGGAGGAAGCCAAAGACGCTTGGGAATCGAACACAAGTCACCAGGTGCGTAGAATAATGCAGCGCGGTGACCACTGTGTGACCGCCATCTAACCTAACAGAGATAAAATATACTTCAAGTAGCCCATGCAGCGTCACTAAGAGGTGTTGTGAGAGAAGACCAATAAAAGGGCCTCACCACGGTCCTAAAGTCCACATATAGATATGCATGCATATATAAACAAAGACAAAGATCCCCTACCTTTAAACACACTGTTGGGGCAACACCTATGAAGGTCAGCACGGCAGACCAGGGGGCGAGTGGCCAACACCACGCCCGGCCGTCTTTCTCACCCGAGTGAAGATCTTTTTTTTTTACACATCGCACCAGGTACTCATTTGAGTCCGAGTCGACTTAGGAGAGGCCAAGGAACTATTTATTCAATTCCCGTGAGCGGGAATTGAACCCAGATCGACGGAATTGTAGCGCAGTGTACTAACCACCACACCACCGCTTCCCATACACACACACGCCCCTGCCATGGAAATGTAGAATTTCCACCAGTGGCTCAATGCCACCCATACTGCCACCCCCCATCATGTGACTTGAGGGATACAAAGTCACATTTGTCTATGCCTCTGCTCGAGGCTCATCGCAAAATAAGCTCAAGCGATTCTCTCCGGATTTAATCCGACAATGCAGTTTGGTTACCCCATACTTTCCTACGTGGCATTTCGCGAGATTGTATAATAATAACACGGAACAGCAATCGCACTGTTCGGGAAAAAAAAAAAAACCCAATACAAGGGGTCGTCTTTTCATCTTGCGAAAGCAGGACACACAGCCGGTTGGAAACTGCGAGAAAAGCATTTGCCGTGAAAAAGGGCATCGTGTTTACGATGGTCGTGTGTGGGAGACACAGAGCCGCGCTGGGTTCAATCCCGAAGTCAGGGCGTTTCTGACACAACCGCTACGAACGGCCAGGAGACGTTCACAACGGCGCCGGAGCCGCCGAGACGTTTAAGCACCCCGCGCTGGGAGTCTCTCCGTGTCCGTGACGTGGCCATCGTGATGGTCACGTTTTAGCAGTGCTGGCTGACCGTCTCCAAAACGACGATTACTACGAATCCCTCCGAGAGAGAGAGCGAGAGAGATACCAGGGCCCAGTGCTTGCGCCCTAAACTGGTGCCATAACTTGAGCCCACAACGCGAGGCCCACAAACGCGAGCCCACAACTGCAACAGTGCCAGCTCACGTGTCCGACGCGGCCATAGTGAACTTCCAGACAGACGTATAAACCGCTCAAGAATATTTTCAATGCGCTGCGTCACTCTTCCATGTGGCCTTCGGGTTGTGCCGCAGTGTGTTGTCATCGTCCGTTGTTGTCGTTCGGCAAGTTGTGTACGTACGTCAAACTTCTTTCTTACAGTACGCAGCCAAAAATCGGGAGGCGCGGCGGGCTAATCGTAGGTGCGGGCGTCCGACGTTTCGCTCCCGCATGCCGAGAGCTTCTTCCGTACACGCCGGACAACCACGCTGCAGCGGCACAGCCCAGAAAAACGTTACAAGGAGCCGCGGCAGAGTAACCTTCAAACCCCACAGCACGGGGGGAGAGGGGGGGGGGGAAACTCATCCCCCCGTGTCGCTAAACCTCCAGAATTCCTGCCAAGGCGAGAAGCTCCAGCACACAAGCCCACCACAAAGATACAGGCAAAGATCCCCCGTATAGCCTTAACAGGCTGTAGGAGCACGTGCGAAAGCCGGGACGGCACACGGAAGGAAAAGGGGACTGCGCAAGGCATCGGCTCTTTGCCGTGCTTCGTGTGGGCGACTGCTATGCTGCATTCTCGCTCGCTCTTGTACCGAGTGAGTGCAGTCGATTCTCTTATAAAACGCAGTAGTTGCGTTCCTGAAGCACACCGAATTCTAATAAATGTATAATATGGTAAAGCGAATACTGAATAAAGACCGAGGCACGTGGGTAGCATCTATCAGCATCCCACCTGGTGCGATGCTACGCCCAGCCAGACGTACAACCGCTCATTCCTTACTACTCAAGTGACGCGTGTTCCATTAACTCGATCGCGTTACATCCAATTCGCATCTGCGTTATGAAAAGTGTTCCAATACATTCATCTTGTTCTATCAAAATAGCGTTGTGAAAACAGGCCGTACTGCCGATGAACATTATACAAGCTAAACAAGACAATTCATGTACGTACAACTTCTTTCGCACCGCACGTAGCCAACCATGCTAAAAATCGGGAGATGCGGGGCAAAGGACAACTAAATAAAAAAAAAGCAGTTAAAGAAATTAGTTTTCAATCTGGATGATTTAAAAGTGCATAGCTCCCAGTGACTTCCCAATGAATCGGAAGGAAGAGCGTTCCAGACAACCGCAGAAGTGCATCTGAAAGCGACGCGTTGCGACCGTCTTTGTCCGATGGCCAGCCAAACGAGAAGACATTGTCGCCACGCTAATATTTTTGGATAACACTAACGAGGCTTCGGGGCGCACAAGGAATGTTTAAAAATCAGGATCATTGTTGTTTGGAGAAATTTACGTGATCTATTCAGATAAACTATATATATTAAAAAAATGTTTTTTATGTTACCATGTACGGCCCACTGAGCTATGTAGCTCTTTTTCATAAACGACCTGGCCACAATTGATAGGTCAATTAAGTGGCTCATCACATGGATATTTACAGCAGGCAGATGGTAGAGAGAAAAATCCGTGAGAGAGAGAGAACGCAAACTCCAAATATACCAGGGGAGGGAGTTAACATCTTGATACAACGCGTACCACCTTGTGATAAGTCAACAGCTGTTGCCCTCGAGACTAACATTTCCCTGCTCCAGCGAGCTTAGGGGGCGGGGGGCACTCAGTTACAAATTCCACATTGACATGGCGAGGGCCAAGTCTGCCCCATAGGATGACCACTGCTTTCCTGTCACAAACAGTCGCTACTCATTTAAACACTGCCAGAGGGATGACGATTATGATGGTGAATCTGATTATGATCTAATATGATGACGATTTTTACGTGATCATCATAGATATGAAAACTTTGACAACGATGATGATGATGAGGATCAGATGGACATTATTTTTCAGCATTATAATTGACTGTACTGGAAAAAAACTTTGCTGGAAAAAAACAGGCTCGTCCACGTCTTGTTTATCGCTAAAGTGTAAACAGTTCACGGAAAATATTTTTTTTAATGCTTTAAATAACACGCATGCTTAAACGCTCTGTAACCCGGGAGGGTAAATTCAAGTCATTTCCGCCACGAAGACCACAAACGCGACCAGTCGCTTCCCATGGAATTTTTTTTGTATAAATCCGTCACGGCATTCTCGCTCTTCCGGATTAAAACGTCAACATCCTTAGCTTCATTCGATGAAACCGATCCAAACGCAGAGCGCTCGAGACTCATGCACTGGTCCGGATCCAACGCCAGACCAACAAGGATTAATCTGACCACAATAACAAAGTCTATGCCGTGGTGGCGAGATGTTTTCTCCCTCGCCTGGTATACACGAGGTCGTGGGTCCGATCCCTACCCGGACGCCTGCTGTATATTTTGGAGTTTGCGTGCGTCTCCCTGTGCTCAAGTGGATTTTTCACCCTCCACATTTATAAGCCACTTTCTTTGAACTAGCAATTATTTGTGGCCAGGTTGCTTCTGAGAAAAGAGCTATAGAGTTCGGTGGGCCTGTTAAAATAGAGTTTTTTGGGGATTTTACACAAGGGTTGTACAGTGCATTAGGTGGCAAAGAAACGGACATGGGGCTTTGGCAGAATATGTCACAAGGGGGGGATTGATGGTCAGCGGGCAAGAAAGGCGAAGGAATAGCAGGCAGTGGGGAATGTCCATCGCAGGCGGGGTGCAGAGATAAATTCAGCTCGTGCGCAGATGCCAAATGGCTTGCAACTGCTTGCAAAGGTCTTCATATCCAGCAGTGTACTTATCATGGCTGATGAGTGAATGAATGCACGGCCGATTTATTTACATGTATGCGGGAGTTTTCTATGCCCATGCAGAATCTGAATATTTATACTGGAGGTATCCAATGAGCTAAAAAGCTCTTTTTCACAGATTGCCAGTAGGGGATGGGCAAGAATGTTACAACAAATAATAGCACAAAAACAAACGATGGTACAGTAGTGTAAAGTACAAGAAAGGTAACAAATCACCCAAAAATCAAACAAACAAAACCATCCTGCCAGGCAGAGCCCACCGAGGCATTAAATTACTTATCAAAAGCGACTTTGTTGCAAATGATAGCTCAACAAAGTGGGCTTTCATTTGGAAATTTATAGCAGCCAAAATAATCTAAATAATGCGAGGGGCACGTGGGATCACAGAACAAAGACTGCACATATTGCACACTCCAGTGGAGGAAACGGAGCAGTGGTCGCACAAGTTGAACCAACCAACCAACCACCGCAGCAGTAACCGCATAACCAAACCACCGGGCTTGACCTACACAAAAACCACCACTTCCCAGAGAAGCATGGTCACTCGTAAAACACACGGCAAGGGATTTATGATCACGGCAGGGCCAGCAGGAGCAGACGAGCGCTGCTCCCTCCTTCCTCGCAAAACAGATGAACGATTCAGATTATTTTTAAATATATATCAACGGTCGAGTAATCCGCACAGAAAGCCTTTCAGCTTGGCGGCGAGATGGCACGGAATAAAAACACGACAGGGGGCTTCAATGACGCTTTCAAATATGAAACAGCACGCGTCAGTGAGCGTGCGAGAAAGGAGTGAATGTGCAAAGGTGGTGTCAGTGGGGAGCCGTCAAACCGCGCCATCCGAACATCAACAGGCCGACGCGCACATCTCCCCCACGAATGGAAAATGAAACGCGAGGCACACAGTGGTACGATTGTGGCAGCGCAACACAAACTGCGGACCGCACAGTAATTCCACTGTGGGCCTGCGGTCCTTCAACGGAGGAACTGCGAATCGACACCAACTCTCTCTCCCTCTGCCAAAGGCGCTCTCGTCGTGGCCAGCAGAAGGACATCGACGTCTCGCTCGTGAACATATTTGATTCCGTACGCCAGAATAGAAGGGTGGGGGGGGGGCGGTGACAAGGTGGTTTGGAGCACCGCTGCTACAAACCTCTGGATTGCAAGTTCAGGGTGCCAACCCATTTGCACCACGACTTTTGACTTAGGACTACAATAAAAAAAAGTGAAGAATTATTTGTTGGTGATAGAATGCCCTTAACACCAGAGGCGGCGGGGGGGGGGGGGGGGGCGTCTGGGAGCGCCTTAAATTATTTAGATTATTTGGCTGCTATAAATTTCCACGTAATTAGCCACTTTGTGGCCAGATCGATTCTAAAAATTGAGCTAATAGCTCGGTGGGCTTTACCTGGAAAAATAAAGAGAGTTTATAGTTTTAGGTAAAACATTTGTGATTTTCTTACCTTTCCTATACTTTGCACTCCTATCGCGTTTTTGTATTGTTTGTTGTTGCAACTTTCCGACCCCGCGCCCCAAATGGACACACCTGTGAAAAAGAGCTTCGTAAGCTCAACAGATTCATCAAGTCTGAAACAAAGATTCCAATTCAGATTCTTTACACCCCATGAGAGAGAGAGAGAGAGCGCTTTACATCGCATCTCATCTTGCCACACTTGAAAGGGGCACCCCCAGTGGCAGCTGTCCCTGTGTGGCAAGAGGAGACTCTGCACCTGGCCTGCAATTGGGCACTCGTTTGCATGTGTTTTTTTTGTCACAAGTACATGTTGGTTAATGCAAACTTGACGATGCCTTTAAAAAAATATATATATATCTTATTTGATCTTGATTTTAAGCTTTCGTGACTGCAGGAATCCATACTCTCTGGTTCGTTCGGTAAAGTCACCAAGGTAGATTTTATGATTTTTTCTATCTAAGTGACTTTACCGAAAGAAGCAGAGAGTATATCTTATTTGGCGTATCAAACTCTTATCACCTCGTTTTATTGCCAGAAAGAGGTAAAACCTATCCTAATTTTTCATCATTTTAGGTACTGGCAAAAAGGTCCCGACGAGCTTCGAGCGTTCTGATACTTGCATTAAGGTTGCACTATATATATTCTTGGTTCTTTCGTTAAAGTCACCTGATGATGATTGCTTGTGTTGCAGTCGAAACGTCGTGACAATTTTATTGCTTTATATTTTTATTATTTTATTGTTTCCCTTCTACGTGACTTTACCGAAAGAACCAAGAATATGAATGCCTGCAGTCATGAAAGCTTTAAATCAAGGTTGCACTGTTCGCCTTTTGCCGTTGTTCTTTGGCGAAAGCCAGTTGCAAGGACAATGCATATATTATCAGATAATGTTTGTTTGCATGTTTTTTTACACACTTTTATTTAACTTGCTCTGTTGTTGTTGATGTTGTCGTTGTATCCTCAAATCTTGTAACTCAATTTTTACCCACGTCCCAATGTGGTATCGACTGCAAACTCGGTATACTTATGTCATACTGATGACAATACTATATTCTATCATAAAAAAGGAAAAAAATATTTTTAAACAATCTTTTTTATATGTTATATGTTTCGGCTTGGGTCTAATTGTCCACGGTAAATCGACGTTGGCTGTATTTGGCCACGGCCCCTTACGTTGTGCCACGCTTCAGGGCCACATCCTGGAGTTGTGGAGTTCTTCCATTAACAGTACGGTGAATTTCATTAAAGCGTGTTTTAAAAAAAAGTTTTTTTTAAATATTACTTATTCCACATGTACTGTGTGTGGTTAATGCAGTAAACTTGATTCCTTGCTAAAAGATATCCATTTGGATTAGATCGCGTTATTTATAAATGTTTATAAATAACGCGATCTAACCCAAAAACCTTTATTATGAATAATATTGGTCGCGAAAGCCTACGTGTTAAACTGAATATCCATTTGGAGTTTGACCATCTTAACTCCTGTTTTACTGCCAGCAAGGGTGAAAAACCCTATTCTAACATTTTTATCATTTTTTATTCTGCCAAAAAAAAGGCATCTCATTGATGTAATTGGGCATCAGTCAGTAAGTATGGAGTGGATGATTGCTGCTGCCGTGGGTAATCCAAAAAGTCGAGTAATTTAAGTGTAATTTTTCGACTGGCAAATTTGGAGCGTGACGCTAGCACTCAACAGCCTGGCCCTCTCATTTCGAATTATGTCGGGGGGGGGGGGGGGGGGGGAGATCATTAACATCAACCGTGAAGCCGATGGCGCATCGGAGATTACGCTAAAACACCGCCCCCCCCCCCCTTTGCAGTAATAACCAGGGTGGCCTAATGGATCGGAATCTGAGCCCTCTGCAACAAGTGACGAACATGCTACCCCCCCACCCGAGGGCACGTCACTGCTCCCCACATTAACAGAGTTTTTCACATTGCAGATCTGTCCTGGTCAGACCGACTATAAAAACAAATTAAAACTAAACTATTTTTTATCTTACCAGGTAAGGCACACCGAGCCATGTAGCTCTTTTTCAGAAGAGACCTGGCCACAATTTGATAGGTCAACCAAGTGGGTCACCACATGGAATTTTACAGCAGCCAAACGGTAGCGAGAAAAACCCACGTGACCACGGGGAAAGAGTAAACACAAACTCCAAATATACAACAGGAATCGTCGGGGGTCGAACCGACGACCTCCTGCATACCGGCGATGGCAGTAACACATCCTCGCGCCACCGCAGCGACTCTCGAGACAATAACCGCGTGGGGGTTTGCGTGGTGCTCACTCACCTGCCCCAGGTTGGTGAAGCCGTGCCTCCCCGCCACGTCGTCGGCCGCGGCCGCGCCACCCGGCACGAGCACGGCCCACGTGTGCGTGTACACGTCCCTCTGCTGGCCACGCGCGCCGCCCGCCACCAGCCACACGGCGCACGCCAGCAGGGCCAACGTCCGCCGCATCGTGGCCTCGTGCGCTTCCCTTCCTCCTCTCCCTCCTCAAGCGCTTCGCTCCTTGCTCCTCTTGGCCGTCTGTGCGCATAAAAAAAAAACGGGAGATTTTGTTTTTTTGCTTGGGCTATGGCTCGGTTCTCTTGATAACCCAGAGCCCAGTCGAGCACTCCACAATTCCCTGACTGGGGCCAAGTATAGAGAACTAGCAAAAGTCATTCAAAGCACAAGTCAGACTGACTTTCAGATAAAGAGGACTATACAACTAAAACCAACTTAAACCAACTTCATTTTACCAGGTAGGGCCCCACAAGGCTATATAGCTCTTTTTCAGAAGTGACCTGGTGACGAATGATGGCTCAACGAAGTGGCTTATCGCGTGGAAATTTATAGCAGCAGAGGGGAGAAAAATCCACGCGACCACAGGGAGAGGACATGCAAACTTCAAATATACAGCAGGCGTCAGGGTCTGGATCGTAACCACGACCTCCTGTATACCAGGGGAGGTAATTAACAACATCTTTGCCGTACGTCCCAAACGCTCATCGAAATGACAGCCACGAGCTTGAACGCTCAAGCCACCAGGCCGCATTTTTTTGTTTAACCAGCTGGTGAGTAGTGGTCAAGAGAGACCCAGGGGATGGAGACTCATTTTTCAAGGAGGGACCCTGGGTCACCAAAACAGCAAAAGCGAAAAAAACAAGACAAAACTACGGCAACGTCGTAATACAACATGGGACATTTTTTTTTTGCATGGGGTGATGTACGGACAACACAACCATGTGTTTGACAATCGCTGGACCGAGCCTAATATATTAGAACGACACGACGCGTTCAGAACAGCTGGCTGTAACTCTGCGGCATTATTAATTCTATAATCTGGCCTGGTAGCTCTCCGGTACAGTGAGCGGCTCGCAATGAGAGGTTGGAGAGCGTTCTAATGCCGAGTAGGATGAATCGAATCGCACGGCTGATTTCTCCACGCAATCTGCGGCAGACCGTGGTGTCGGCACAACATTTTCTCCAGCCGATTACAGACCCTCTGCGACGAGCCTCGGATTGTATGTACGTACGTGTAAATACGTACATGCGCCATGGATTAAAGGATCTGCGATGATATGGTCGAATAGCAACGCGGATTATTTGGAATTCACTTGCATAAATCGTTGGTCATAATCGGCGATAGAGTGGGATGAAAAGTAAACCATTCTCGCCGATGTATTTTTAGGTTGTTGCCACGCGTTGCTTTGGTTGCTTGCCGCGATGTCCCACTTCCTTCTTCAGCACGTGGGACAAAACCATCGGAGATCGTGCGGAACAACACGGGGTACCAACGAAACAAAGCGCGGGACAGCGACACAGCGTGACCATGAAAACCTACAGGCATAAGTTTCCATCCACTCTCAATGCACTGCTAGAACCGGCTTAGCCAGGCTTACAAAGCCTCGTTGCTCCTGGATCACACTTCCAATCCTGGTTGTTCAGACAATCGCGCACGGCTGATGGGAGCCAACGCAAGGAACCTCGCACGGATCGCCACATTCTCTAGTGCCGCGCATTATGCGGCATGTACCGAGAGCAGAATTTTTTTTGAACCACAAAATGGGCATGCAATTGGTTCGACGCCTTATACTGTCCCCGTTAATATCTCACAGAGGCAATGTTGTATTAAACACTTGGGAAAATGGGATGAATTCGGTGTTGATAAAGTGCCCTTTGTATAAAGGGGGAATTTTTTTTTTTACATTCGTCAATAAACACGGATAAATAACATTTAATAAGCAAGGTTTTGGGACAATGGCCCTTCTGCACAGCAGAGGCCAAAGAGGCGATTTAATTATTACTCGCGATTTCAATCGGGAACTGGTGAGGGATTAATACCCCACCAGAAGCCTTTCAAAGTCGATAACAACTTGACCATTGTTGAACAATTTCACAAGCTGCCAAAAAAATCCCAACAAATCCACAATCTTAGACAAGTTCAAAGTCGGCAAACCAAACTAAATTTCCGCTGTTGGTGTCGTAGGAACTCGTCTTACCAACCCATTGCCATATCTTCACTATTGAGTATTCAGAGATGCTCAAAATTCAAAGTAGTCTCAACACTGACAACCGCATCATCACAACGCAATTCATTTATTTACCCAGTTAAACCGCCCGTATTTTTCTAGGCCAAGGAGGAACAACAGAGATAACGTGAAGCAATGACCTTGCGAAACTTAAGCAATCATTATAGCTGGAAAAAAAACACATTCTATTGGAGGAACCGACCCGACCTGACCTTACGCAGCTGATAAGCACAGGTCAACATGTGCCTTTTCAGAAACCACAACCATTACAAAAAAACTGTTGACGTGTAAAAGCACTTACATTTTTATGGCTGCCGTACAGAGCACTTTTTTTGGTACACAGCTCTTCAATAAGTCTTTTATTTATTATTGACAATGGAGGCTCTGTGGGAAAAGCATGCGACTCGCAAAACGCTAGTTGGAGCGTTCCAATACCAACTGGACCGATCGTGATCATCATCTCTATGGGATCATTGAAACCGAGTACTACCGTGGGGAGTCAACAGCCGTCATCTTACGGAAGCGAGATTGGTCCCCGTCACAGGAATGTCGAATTTCCACCATTTGCTCAGAACCAACAAGATCTACGGTCTCAGCGTCACAGGACTGCAAAGATGCAACAGCGAGACGACTCAAGGGATTGCTCATGCCGAGTGAAACGCAGCTGTCGGTAAATCCTCGTTTCAGACGGGAAGCAGAGCAAGGAACAAAAACAAGAACATACAAAAATACGAGCTGCAAGTAAAACTTGAAGGGAATTTGCAGGAGCGTCATTTTGTCGTGGAAATTTTATACCACATGGCGAAAAATGACATCGCAGCAAGACCGGCGGCGGTGACTCAAGTGGCGGGGTTGAATAACCACAGAGGGGTGGGCAAAGCACCTGTAATGTAGCGGCTCATGAGACAGTGCAGCACTGAGGTTGACAGCAGGCACGTGTGTATGTTGGGACTTATTTCGCACCGTACGTAGCCGACCATGCGAATCGGAGGTGATAGTGATGCAGGTATACATGTTGAACTTTTTTTCCTCAACGTACGTTGTCAACTGTGCTAATCGGAGGTGTGGATTAAGGACAACGAAACACAAAAAGAAAAAGCAGTTATTGCTTTACAAGGTGATCCCCCGATTTGTTAAAGAGATACGTTCATTAAAAAAAACACCCGGAAAACGAAATTTCGTAAATCGGAATGGCTTTTCCCGTTAATTTGATTTAAAAAATGTATGGATGCGTTGAGCAGTCATTCACGCTCTGCTCCTAACCTAAAAAAAAAACTCCCCTATAATTGTGTTTCACAATACAAAAATAATAATACTGAAGAATATAAGTATACAAGAGGACTGAAGAATCTTTAATTTTAAAACAAAATAAAATCAAACTTGTTCAGGGAACTCAAATGTTCTGTTGCGTGTTGCAATGAGTGGGGGGAGAGGGTTGATTGCGGAGACGTTACTGCTGCTACTGTAGGGGACACCATGACACTGTCGCCGATCAGAATCAGAATCTAGATTTGAAGCTTTCGTGACTGCAAGGATCCATACTCTTTGGTCCTATTCGGTAAAGTCACGTAAAAGTATAAAACAACAAAAAATAAAACATTCACGACGTTTCGGCCACAACAGAAGTGGCCTTCATCAGGTTGGAGGAAAGTCGTTAGTCCCCCCCCCCCCCGAAAACACCTGATGAAGGCCACTTGTGTTGTGGCCGAAACGTCGTGAATTTTTTATTTTTTGTTGTTTTTATACTTTTACGTGACTTTACCAGAATAGAACCAAAGAGTACAGAATCAGAATATTTAGACAAGAGGAGAAACCTGATGAGCTGTGAAGCTCTTTTTCACACATGTCCAGCAGCGGACACATGACGCAGCCTCCCCGGTTGCTTCGTGTCAAGACGATCTCACGGCACGTGCAGTGCGAAATATCGTAAACGTGGAAATTCGATTTCGTAAAAAAAAAATAACAAAAAAAAGTGTCCACAATTCGTCAATTTGCGTTTACGTGCAATTTCGTAAAACCAAAATCGCGGCACACCTATACACACGCGAGCCCGAGCGTAGTCTCCTCATGTGTCGGTGGGTTTTATTCAGGTTATTCCCGCTTTCCTCCAATATTCAAAACGACCTCAATTAGCCCATGCACCAAGGGGGTTGTGTACCACCGAAGGTTGCAAACGCTGCCAGTCTACACCACAGGCAGTGGGGGGGGGGGGGGGGTGCCTACCAAGGACCGTGTCCCACCATGGGAATAAATCAGTCGACATACCATCTGTCTTATAGACAACTTCCTAGGTACGCATTCTGCGGACGTTTCATATCAAAGTCGTTAATTACCCCCCCCCCCCCCCCCCGAAAACATTATCTGCCAAACGAACATATTAAAAAAAGGCACCCTTCTTCATATATTCTCATTAAACACAAGCACGGTGACCTTGCTATCATGTACATTTCTAATCTCGAGATAGTAGGATTTTGGAAAATACGTATAATTTGGCATCCTGCTTGGTACCAACAACCCAAATGTGTCCCAATGGCTCAAAGGCCAAATCAGAGATTATACTTCCAGCGATGGAATCTCGTGAACATCAGCTTTTGAGACCACGGCACTTTCCACGGCTAACCGCACAAACTTCTCACCTAATTTTTTGTTGCGGTTATAAACCGCATTGCTCCATTTTTGCGCGAGGAAGAAATGTGCGCACCAAAGCACATTCTTTGTTTTACAACCCAGATCTCCCTTGAAAAATACCTTTGATCTCCCAGTGCCCCCGCAGGTATGTCCCCAACATGTGTGTAACCAAGACGAGAGTGTGGCGTGGGGGAGCGCTAGTCTAGCGGTTCGCGCACTGCACTACGAGCCTGCCGTACCCGAGCTAGATTCCTGCCCACGGCCAAAACCAGCGACGATTTATCCGGTCCTGAGCCTCCCCTAGGTCGGCTCGGCCTTAAATAAATACCTGGTGCGGTGTGAAAAACATCACCACTTGGGAGACCAAGGGGGCCAGACGTGGTGTTGGCCACTCACCCCCTTGTGAGCAGTGCCAGCCTTCATAGGTGCTCGCTAACAGCACTTGCTCGCTCAGGCCACATCTTTGTAACTAAGGCACAAAAAAAAACTCATCGCCAACCATGCTCAATCCACTGCTGTACAAAGGCCTACCCTGCACCGACACACGAGCCGACTTCAATCGCGACATCTCCACACCCCCCCGCCTCGGGTGAATTCTCCCACTTTGGCCGTCATTCCATTGCCAATCTCGTCAACCAGCACTCGTCCCAAAGCCCACTTACCTTGTGTTTGCTCCTAAAGCATTGCAAGACAAAGATCCCCGTATATCCTTAACAGACTGTTGGGGGAAAAGTGCCGTTTTGGCGAGTAGCGCCTACCTATTAAGGCCGGCACGGCACACGTGGTAGAATCCCCAGGTGGCGATGTTTACACAACGCACCGGGTACTCGCTTGTGGCCGAGTAGACCTAGGGGAGGCTCAGGACCGGTTCAGATATTCATCAACTGGTGTTGGTGGCCGCGAGCACGCTCACCGCTACACTCCCCACTAAAACATTTGCGCAGACACACCACAACTAACTTGTCAATCTACTGCTGGACCGATGGCCTCCCCCATGCTCTCCAGCGCGAGTCGAAGGCGAGAACAGGGTTACACTTCAACCATGGATTTTTGCGGTGCCGACCAGAGATGCTTGCCCATTGTGTAGCATTGTAGCGGCCTATAAACAAACACAAACCTGTTGCGTATGGCGATTGCCCGTGAGGGATACAAATATCCAGGCGTTGGTGTTAACGCTCGAGTCAAGAACCGCGTTGCCACTCTTTGTACGCATGTTACATTGAACTTCTTTCGCACCGTACGCAGCCAAGCGCGCTAATCTGAGATGCGGGGGAGGGGGGTGGGGGCAAACTAAACCACACGAAGCAGTTTCTAAAACAAATGAGTCATTCTAGAAGATTTAAAAGTGAATCATATCTTCCAGTGGCTTCCTAATATCGGAGGGGAGAGCGTTCCAGACGGCCGCACAGGAGCGCATCCAGTGACCGTCTTTCTTTGTACTGCATGTTGAACTTCTTTCACACCGTACGTAGCCAACCGTGCTAATCGGAGGTGCCGGTGGAGGTACAACTAAACACAAAAGCAGTTCTATTATTACAACTCCTCACCGTGTTGTTTGTCGCTAGCCGTTTGAAGCATTGGTGCCCGTGCCAAGTTACCGTTTAGAAATATATATACACACAGAATGTAATCAACATTAAAAAATAAAAAGGCACAGTGCACAAACAACACATCTACACGAGTGCTGAACAACTACCTGGGGTCCGTGCGGTCATCACCCATCCGTTTAGACCCGAGGACGGGGCAGACGAAAACAACAACAACAACCACAGGCAACGGATGAACGCCTCACAAACTTCAACTCCTATCGAGAGCGTTCAGAATGAGAGAGAGAGAGGAGTGGGACGATGACGACACTTTAAAAAGACACGGATCACACGACCCATTAAGGCGCTCCGGTCACGTCAATCACCAGCCATGGTCAATCCACTGCTGGTTGAAGCGGGGGGGAGGGGAGGGATGTCTCACCAGACGCGCATCCCATATGAGCATCATCGCACCATCAAGCCACGGAGCGCCTCTGTGAAAACTTAACGGATTTTTTTCCCCCCCATCCGCTCTCCTCCCATCGTCATCGGGGTTACCAATTTACACATTTTTAACTTGATGGACGCGCGCGGACACCGCTAGGATGGCGTGAGGCTGCTGGACCTTCACTTTTAAGTCGTTTTTAACTTCTCCCCTACGCCCAACTAACCCCCGAATTATTCTAAATTTCCCCGAGCCAGCACAGGGAGACACAGAGCCACTTCGATTCAGCTTGTAGCGCTCTGCCAATGCGCTGATGGACGGGTGTCCATACTTCACTCACGATTTGGTCAAGAGAGGTGGACCGAGTTCACACACCACCGATGATAGCCGTGGCCGGGAATCGAACTCGGGAGAGCCGGGCTCTACGGCGCAATGCGGTAACCACTGCGCCACCGCTCATATTTAGTCAAAGACTTTAAACATCGCCCGGTGTGGGCGAGCGAAGGAAGGTTGGGGGCACCCCGGGCCTCTCGGACGGCACCGACGCTCGCCTACCTCACCGGGCAGGGAAACTAGGCAACACCGTGGTCTGGCGGAGGCCTACCCGAGGAACGCTCGGAAGCGGCGGAGTCCCCGCGGCCTCGGCGGCGGCGGCAGCAGCGCGGGACGAGGGGAGACCGAGGCGAGGGCGGCGGCGGCAGGGAGGGGGGCAGAAAGACGGAAGCTCAGCGAGACAGCGGCGTCGCCATCCTGGGGTTCACCACCAACGCAAGCGACGCGGACGCCCCGGGGAAGACGCCAACACGAGTGCTGATGGCGCTCCCCCTTTTATAGCCGGGCGGGCGGACAGCTGCTGGGCGACGTAAACCACACCCCCTCCTCACGTACGTCACGTCAACGCGATGACGTAAAAAAACTAAACAGCTGTGTTCGTAGGCGTAACTCTGGCGACGTCATGTGCGCACGCCCCTCGCGGCGACGGCGATTTAAATTTGGTGACGTCATCGCGCAATACAAATTCGCGTAACACGGGGGCGACTCCTCGAGTTACCAACGCGATTCGTTCGTAAGTCGAACGGTTTCAAAAGTAGGGAATACAGTAAAGAGCAATGCACTGCACAATAGAGGTTTAGGATGGGGTTAGATGGGGTAAATATAACCGTGTCGTTAAACCCACCACCACCCGACACAGCCAATTAGCAAGGTGTTGTCAGGCAAGGGGCCGTCCATAAATGACGTCACGCGATTTTTGCCCCCCCCCCCCTCGTCACACGGTGTCACAAAAAGTCAGACCCCCCCCCCGCCCCTCAAATATGACGTCACAAACCTCTGCCCCCCCCCCCCCAAAATAAAACATGCTTCAAATCGCGTTAAACTATTATCATTGTAGTGCTTATTTAATGTGGCGCTGCACTCTGATGTTGTAGGAGAAAACATGCATTAAGAAGTCTATTTCATTAAGTAGAACGTGTTGTTTATATTTATTTAAAGTTGCGCATTTTGATGTGACGTCACATTTCCAAACCCCCCCTCCTCCTCGTCACACATCGTCACAAATGTCTGACCCCGCCCAGGTGCGTGACGTCATTTATGGACGGCCCCTAAACAAAACGTGCAAATTCGTTACTAGTACAGCACACCGGCTGTGTGTTGGAGAGTTAAACCCCAACTACAACGTTTACATTTCGAGTGCCGTGACGTTTCGCCGGTAATTACAACGCCAGCAGCAGCCAGCATCATCAGGGGACAGCCAGAGCGTTGTGGAGCGAGAGGGGGTCCACGTGATGCCGTCACTGGTGAGCCAATCAGGCGCGAAGGTCAGAGTGGGGGGGGGTGGGGTTAATCTCTGCCTATAAATGACAATGGTTATCCATTACCCGTTGGGTTATTCATCGGTTAATCAACATACATTATGCATGCACACCATGCACAATGCATGGTTCTGCCCTGTTTGGGTGGTCAAAACCTCTATTATAGATAGTGGTCGCGAAAGCCTACGTGTTAAACAGTAATATACCGTTTTTAAATTCCCATACGGTCAGTGTTATGAAATGTGTTACAGTCCAACTAAACAGGGAAGCTTTGTTAAACTCATAAGAAATATTGTACATTTGCATGTATCACTGTCAAAAACAAATACCGTATAGTCAATAGAACATAAAATAAATTAACATGAATGTTAAAAAATAAATCTGTTTTATTTTCACTTGAGTCCTGCCAGGCTTGCTTGTCGGAAGGGGGGCAGTGAGCAACCACAATTACACAAAGACATACAAAGATACACAAAGATACACAAAGATACACACACAAAGACACACAAAGATACACAAAGATACACACACAAAGACACACAAAGATACACACACAAAGACATACAAAGATACACAAAGATACACAAAGTTACACACACAAAGACACACAAAGACACACAAAGATACACAAAGATACACACACAAAGATACACACACAAAGACACACAAAGACATACAAAGATACACAAAGATACACAAAGATACACACACAAAGACACACAAAGACACACAAAGATACACACACAAAGACACACAAAGATACACACACAAAGACACACAAAGATACACAAAGACACACACACACAAAGACACACACAAAGACACACACAAACACACACAAAGACACACAAAGGCAACACACAAAAAGACACACACAAAGACACACAGACAACACACACAGACACACACACAAAAACACACACACAAAAAACACACAAAGACACACATACAGACAACACACACAAAGACACACTCCAACGATCCCCAGTAAAGACGCGCAGATTGTCGGCACAAGTGCTGTTAGAGCAGCGCCGATCAAGGCCGGAACGGCACACGAGGGGGTGGGTGACCAGCGCCGCGCCCGGCCGCCTGTGTCCCCAGTGCTAGCGATGTTTACTGCACACCGCACCAGGTACTCATTTGAGGCTGAGTCGACCTAGGGGGAGGCCCAGGACCCATTCAGATAATCGTCACAGCGCGAAGCTGACTCATTACATCTCTCGCGGGGGATCGATCCGCTGCACAAAACAGTTCTGCGGATCAGTTTGCAAGTGCGAGTTCACGTTTTAAGTTGATGTAAAACAATATTTCATGGCAGTTGGTTCGCAAGCGCGGGTGTTCGTCGGTGTGGGTGTTCGCAAGCGCGGGTGTTCGCAAGCGCGGGTGTTCGCAAGCGCGGGTGTTCGTGTAAGTGTTTGGTAATAGCTGCTCAGTCAGAGGAGGAGTTGGAGACGCTGCTGCTGAGACTGGAGCGTGCCACTAAGAGGTGGGGCCTTACCATCAGCCCCACCAAAACTAAGCACCTGCCTGGGTATTTTGTACCATCGGACACTCCACCCCCACAACTCCCAATCGGTGATGGGGCAGTTGTGGAGAGAGTGGAGAGTTTCCCATACCTGGGCAGTGTGCTTATGACTGGCTCCAGTTTAACAGCGGAGGTCTCACTCCGAATCAGTCGAGCGGCAATATCTTTTCATCGGTTGCGTAACGCTGTGTGGAAGCTACCTGGTCTGTCGCTCCGCACTAAGCTTCAGGTCTTCTCGGCCACGGTCATTCCCTCCCTTCTCTACGCTTGCGAAACGTGGACCCCCCCTAATGGAACATCTTCGCCGGTTAGAAACATTTAGGCTGGCCTGCCTACGATCCATCCTGGGTTTAACCAGACTGGATTGTGTGAGCTCACAAATCCTTGAAAGATCTGGGCAGGGTCTCATCGGTGAGCTCCTCCGGCAGGCAAGGCTGCGATGGCTGGGTCATGTAGCCCGCATGCCCAGCCATCGCATGCCGAAACAGCTTTTGTTTGGCCGGATTGAGGGGGCTAAGCGGGCGCGGCACGGGCTAGAGAAGAGATGGAGTGATGTGGTACAGGAGGACGTGGAGCTGAGTGGACTTGCCGATGACTGGTACCAGCGGTGTCAAGATCGGCCTCTGTGGAGGAGGCTCGTGAAGGATGCTACTGGGCAGTTGGAGGCAGTCGCCCTCCAACAACAACGGAGGGCGGAGGAGCGACGCTCACAACAACGAGCGGAGCGCCGGGTGGCTAAAGCACAGCAGGTTGGCACAGTAGGGGGCACAGGTGGTGCATCAGCCAGTCATCTCAGTCAGTCGACCCGTGGCACCTGGGTCTGCCCAGTGACCTCCTGCCAGCGGGCGTTCGACACTTCACGTGGCCTCACGGTGCACATAGCCTGGCACAAGCGTCGTGGTGACGTCACCGCCACTTAGTGGCGAATGGCGGTTGTTGTTGTTTGCAAGTCGACTTGTAATGCAACCTAAAAATTGAATGACGCCATGTAATTGAAGCTGGATGAACAGGCCAGACGGCCATCGTGTTTCGTTGAGTCGTAGGGCTCTCTTTGAGGAGTAATATATTTGGGTTTTATGTTAAATTGTTTTCAGCCAATTGATGAGCGTTTATGATACAAGTGGGTGGAGGAAACCGGAGCGCCCGGAGTAAACCCACGCATTGCGTGAGGGGGCAACACTATATCCCCGTACAGATGGAAACAGATGGCAAATACATCCACTTGCCTCAATGCTCATTTGAGCTGGCCATCGCTTGTGTTTGTGTGTACAATAAGCATATTCACGGATTTAAAGTAACAAAACCATTTTTTTATTGAGTGGAAATGTTTTCCAGTTTGCTTCTTTTAAATTTTAACCTTTATATACCCGAAGGAATGTTCAATCCATTCCAAACTCCACCACATTACAGCAAAACTACAGTGATTAACTGCTCCATGTCCTCCAAAAGGGCCGATTTTACCACAGCCGCAAATACGGCATTCAGTTCAGCTGTGCAGATGGGCGACTGGCCTAGTTTTCTGTGATTTTAAACGAAAAAGGATCGTACAGATGTATAACCTCAGAGCTGAGCATGCTCAAATGGAAAGATCCTTTTATTTTTTTCAATTGTGAGCAGTGATTGGTGACCGGGCTGAGACATCGAATTCGTAATGCTTGAGAACCCAGTTTAATCACAGGGTAGGTGCCCGGATTTAAACTCAAGATCTCAGCATTGCTGGATCAATGTTCCAGACATGGCCATGAGGAACCCCCATTGTAAGGAAACAGTAGAATAACCAACCCCGGGATCTCCGAAGCACTTCTTTAGTGTCCGAAACAGCCATTGTCACCCTCCTAATAAGAATGTGAGAACCCCACCCCTGAAAACTTGGCTCATGACGTCACCAGTGTTTGTTCAATTACTCCCACAGCACAGGGGGCTTCGACTTCGCACTGCTGGCTCAAGAGTCTGCCACGGCCATCATGAGCCCCTTGAGACATCCGACCCAAGGGATCAAACCTCGCATCTCAGCAGTGCGACTCAGCGATGACGAACCTTCGACACAAAACGTCCAGCCCCCGCAAGGATTAATTAAAACTCACAAGTGTCAAAAGGTTCTAGCTCGGTGCGTCTGCAATGGCCTTTTCAGCCACAGAGCTACGACTGGCTCATATTAAAACGAGTCCAAATCCCAGCAGTTGTGTCTCCATTGACAGCGTGAGAGTTGTGTGAAGTGCAGAGGAGACGCCTGGGAGGAAGGAGTAGAGAGGGGGAAATGGAGAGAGATTAGGAGTGTGGGATGCAGAGGAGAGTGTGTGAATGTGGTTTGGCGTGTAAAGAGAACGAGTTACAGGGTCTCAAATGAAACGTGGATAAATAATGGGAGAGTTGTGTGGCGGAGAGAGACATAGTGAGAGAGGCGATCACAGCTCTTCGTGAGGTTTCCTCGACACGATCATGAGCTTGGAAAGCTGCGATCCAAACTGGCCCGGGTTGTGGCTCACTGCAAACACAGAAGGAACATTTTCAGCTGGCGTTATAATCTATTATCAAGATTGATTGTTTTCTTTTTTTTTGTAACGTCTCCAATTGTTTCACGATTGCGTTATTGGCTTCATGCCATGCAGAACTCCCGCAGAACAGTGCAACCCTTCATGTTAGAGAACAGCCCACGGAAGTGGACACCAAGGAACTCCTTCCGAGATGCTTCTTCCAAGGGACCTGTTCCACACGGTGGAGGGCAACACTTTTCCCCACCCGCTCTGTCCTACGAGAATAATGTTTGTCACACGATTGGCTACGTATGGTGTGAAAGAAGTTCGACATACACACATAAAAGTGGAGAACGAAATTTTGCACGTAGGCTTTCGCGACCAATATTATTATAGGTTTTTTTTTTGGGTGAGATCGTGTAAAATGTGTCGTTAAACCCGCCACCACCTGACATTCAATTAGTGAGGAATGTCACGTAAACAAAACTTGCCAATTAGTTCCTAGTTCAGCACACCGGTTGTGTTGGAGAGTAAACCCCTCAACATTTACAATTTGAGGATGACGTTTCGCCGGTAATTACAACTAGCCTCATTAGGTGACAGCCAGAATTGTGGAAAAATCCTCCTGTTTGGGCCTTGAATAGAGGGGGATAAATTTGAGGTCGATGTTGATTAACCAGCTATCAATAACCCAACTAACAGATATCCATTGTAATTTATTGGCTCATAGTGACGACATCACATATTTACGCGATCTAAACCAAACAAAAACTCTATTACGGAGAACAAAATGTTTGTTTGGCCAATGTGTTATTTGGTGATATGGTCTGAAAAGGATAGAGGGCTTTAAGTAACGGGATCCAGTCATTTGGGGGTCACCTCATGCCATCATCCTCATCCCTCAGGGGTTGATAGAAAAATAAACACCAATGAGGTGGATGTTGACAGTGGTTGTCCGACAGATAAACCGGCCGCTTCCATAAGAATGTGGAATTTCCACTCCCGACTCAGGGCCACTGACAGAGGTGATCCCTGCCCAACACTCATTTCGAGTGGGGACACGTATCAACTTGACTTGAACTTTTTATAGAGGACTTATTGTTATGCACCAACCCCACACCACAAAAGTAACGATTTGCTGTAACTCTACGTTGTGCTTTTGGGGTCGCACCGCGTGTTATTTGACAATAATATCTGACAATTCGCTCCACAATCGGGGCAGCAGCATCTTCAGTGTGTAACAAAACCAAAAATCTACAATATATCACCTGTGTGTTCCCCAACCACAATTTCACTTGGCTTCAAAGCGATGTCCTTCAGGTTACTTGTAGCTGCTTGCGACTGAAAACACAAACGTGACATTTTAAAATTTCAAACACTACATTTTCGGTGCCAGTGTTCGTTTATGGAATGTTAACAGAAACAGGGTTTTAGGATCGGTCTAGAATGACACTGGTCCAAGAGTCCAGGTTTTAAGGATCAGTCTAGATTATTTAGATTATTTTGCTGCAACAAATTTCCACGTGATAAGCCACTTCGTTGAGCTACCATTTATGGCCAGGTCACTTCTGAAAAAGAAGCTAATAGCTTTATCACATGGAAATATATAGCAGCCAATACTCAAAACACATATTGATTCTAAACGGGGAGGGAAAACCCAGAGTACCCGGAGAAAAATCCACCCGACCATAAACTCCAAATTCATCGGCGTCAGGATCGGAATCAAACCCACGACCCTCCTGCGTACAGGGCGAGGTAGTTAACATCTCGCCACTGTGACAACCCCATGGCAGCATCCTCCTTCCTGACGTAACGGTTGTTAAACCACTGCGATAGATTTGTGGAGTGACATTGAACAATGAACTACAAAAAACCCCGACTCCAAAACTCACAAAGGCTTCCGCGAACTCCACTTTGGCTCCAGAAATCTCAGTGTTGAACTGAACGAAGAACAGATATGACTTCCCGTTTGGCCTGTAACGAAAAGGCGTAAAGAATTTGTCTCGACACATTGGTGACAAAACGCACAGGCATCTTAACTGACTGCGCAAGCCGGTGAACTGAAGGCTGTACCATTTTTAAAAGCACACGTGATTTTTCCAAGTCATATTTAAAATTTCACACACCAATAACAGCACGTCAGCATCGCCAACAACACTATAACAGAAAACGATAGTTGTATTCACCAATGTGGGTCCAGAATGGCCTATGTAAAACTTTAAGAAGGGTAGAGAGGTCAACCTAAGTGTGAAGAAGTGAGTGTTTGAGACAGGAGGAATGTGTGCGTGTGTTACTATAGGGGCTAGAGGCAGTGGTTCTTAACATTTACTGCAGAATGCACCCATTTGGTTCTCAATCATAAAAAATAATGTTAATTAATACCTAGTAGCTGTACTACCCCAGAAAGGGCATCTCTCATCCCCAGGGGGTGAGTGCACCCCAGGTAAGAATTACTGGCCGATAGAGAGTTGGAATTATAACTAAACAAATACGAATGAAGGTGCTGGCCTTTGAGTAGATAGATGTGCGGGAATGTAGGAATTTCAAGCCAGAATAGAAGACAGATTCGAAACAGAATGTGGCAGGAGAGCACTGGAGATGTGATCTTGATCGAAAATTAATTTCTTTAGAACTGCTTTTTGTGTTTAGTTTGTCATCCTTCCCCCGTGCATCCGATTAGCGCAGTTGGCCTTACTTACAGTGCTAAAGAAGTTAAAACGTACATACTTCCAGAAGAGGAGGATGTGATGGGTGTGACACGTGTGCAGGGTGGTGGAGGGCAGGTTACCGAGACTGGTAATGCAAGTGGCACCCACAGGTTGGCGACTAAGGGGGGGTGACCTAAAGTCAGATACAAGTCGTGGTGCTGTTACTGCCGGTGATGGTGAGATTTTGAAGGCCGTGCCGACTGATTGTTGCGAGGCAGTGCTGTCGACTCTGACAGGGCGCGCGTGTTCAATTTGAGGCTGTAAAAGCTGAACGTCAATCACAATGGGCCAGGTCACCTCCTCGTCGTTGTTGTTATAACAGAGCCATGTGGAATTGCACAAATCGATTGGCAGCTCAGCGGCTGCTGCACCGCACTACAATAAAAGCGGACTGCGACGGAATCACCGACCTTGCTGATATTAGCCAATCAATTAAAGGGGGTGTGTCACACACAACTGGTCGATCCAAGTATCGCATGCCAATTAATTGGATTGCCAATTAATCGAATTGCCAATGGATCGACATTTTCAAGATGGCTGCCCTATCAACTTTGAGCTGGGTGCTGGGACGACCGAGCGCAATCGATACGATGATCAACCTCGATTCATGATCCACAAAGACCATCTTATGGGCAAAGACAACGCCCCCTTTGGCCAACACCACGCCTAACACTCTCTTCCGTGTAATGGGGGCAAATCTCCGATCGGCGATTTTGTCAGGTGTCCCATTTCGTCGCTCCATTACAGCGTCGCCATGAAACCAGTGACGTGGGCCTGGTTCCCAGACGCGGGTAACATCATCAGTGGCGAGCAATATCCATACATGTCAACCCCTTGTCAGTGCCTACCTTATTACAGACCAATTCAGACCTTATTGGCCACCCCATGCCCCTTTTAAATCTCAACGTTCATCCTACAAAGTTCCATCACACAAAGACGTGTTTTTTTGCCCGTATTGAAACGTCTTTGTCGTATAGGCCTGAAAACTCAATTTCCCTGACAGGTATGCGGGTCTGGTTCCCAGCCGCGGGTAACATCATCAGTGGCGGGTAACATCATCAGTGGCGAGTGACATCTAAACCGGTCCTGGGTGCCCCGCTTCACCGACCTGCAATGACCAGCACGGTGAAGCAAGGTCAAACAACTCCGACGACTGACGTAGCGCAAAGGAGGCCTTCACCCAGCCAAAGATTGAGACAAAGGGCGGTAAAAAGGAATTAAGTGAATGGAACGGATAGTTTCCATACCTCCACACGGAGCAGGAGAAAAGAGAATGATCCTCATTCGACCCCAAGCTCATCAGCCATTGCTGCAAGAAATAAAACAATCATCACCACCACCGTCGGAATCAACATCGTCATCATAATCATTGCACAGTGTATTGCGGGAGTTCCTGTGTTTGAGACCCGCTTGGACTGGGTGTCCATATCAGAAGGCTTTCTTGGTCTGAATCGCAGAGTCAACAATTGAGATTCTGCATCCAAGTCTGGATTTCAGTTATGAATTATTGAACCGGCTTGCGTTGCAGTGAGTTTGATACGATACATTTGGTTTCGGACTCCGTTCACTGAGTCCAAATTCGACGTGCTGATGTGATACTCTCCTGTCTGCCGGAGTTTCGCACGGGGCCATCCCTTTGTCTTGCAGTGACAATACCTTTCAATGCCATTCAATTCCATTCGAATCTTCATCCTACCCCACACCCCCCTCTCTATCTCTCCTCCCTGGCTCATCCCCCCTCTCTTACCGATATAACCTCTTGTTACAGCAGCCCTTTTGCCCACTTCAGCAATTGTTTCTTGCTGTGGTTGTCCCACCTGATCACGGACGCTTGTGCTGCACCCGAAACGTCATGATTTAATTTATTTTATACCTACGTGACTTTACCGAAAGAAACAAAGAGTATGGATCTCTGCAATCACGAAAACTTCAAATCTAGATTTCTTCACTGGACAATTGGAGCAGCACAGTTTTAAGGAGTTACATGCAAACACGTACAATGCCGAGGTGAAGGCTTTGAGGATGTTTCCCCATGGCCAATGCCATTACGCCATGCCATCGTTTCCTGCCTTCTGCTATATCCCTCTGCTGTTGAACATTTCATACTCTATCCCCCCACGACCACTATCATAGTCTCATGAAGGACAACGATCTGCCGTATAGCCTTATTAGACGTTTGGGGCAAGTGCTGTTAGCGAGCACCTTTGATGGTGGTGGTAGTCTCATCACCACCAGCATCTGGCTTTAGGTCGTCAGACTTCTGGGTGCCACTGCAATGACTATCTCGGTCATATGCCCTCTTCAATCCTGCACACCCCGTGTCCCACCCATCACAACCTCCTCTTCCTGATTAAATTCATTAGAATTCCTTGCACACGTTATATTCACAACTCTCAAGCCGTTTCTCTTATCCTGCCATGACATTCTGAGTGTGCTCCGCACACGAACGCACACCTGCACTCAAAACGTCCGTAAGCTTTTTTGTCCTAGTTCACTTCTCTAAAGAGTCAAACTCTCTGATACATGTGGTCAGAAACATTACTCGTGCCTCAGGCACCTCTCTTAACACTAAACTTGACCTCTTTCGCTGCTATAAATGTCCACACAATGATAAGCCCACTTCGTTGAGCTATCATTTGTGATAGCCAGGTCGCTTCTGATAAATAAGCTAATAGCTCAGTGGGCTCTACCTGGTAAATTAAAAAAGTTTACTTATTTCGTGCATATCTTTTAGCAATTCGCTTACTGTTCCTATACTTTGCACTCCCGTGTGTTTTGTATTGTTTGTTGTTGTACCATGCACTACGATCGTGCTTTTTTGTAACTGTTGTAGTAACGTTCTGACCCCATCTGTGAAAAAGAGCTTTGAAGCTCATTGGATTCCTCCTGCAATATAAATAGATATTCTGATAAATAGATATTCTGATAAATAGATATTCTGATGTTGATTCTGGTTGATGTCAGGGAAGGTAGGGGGGGGGGAATCTCTTGCCTCGTTTGTCCCTCCCTGTGCTGCGTAGGTAAATGTGCAGCCGAATTTCCCCTGTCAACACAAAGAAGCGTCCGGTTAGCACGGCTGGATACGCACGACACAATAGAAGTTCAACATTCATACATACTGCCCATAGACTCAACACTGCCCATAGACTCAACACTGCCCATAGACTCAACACTGCCCATAGACTCAACACTGCCCATAGACTCAACACTGCCCATAGACTCAACACTGCCCATAGACTCACACACTGCCCATAGACTCACACTGCCCATAGACTCAACACTGCCCATAGACTCAACACTGCCCATAGACTCAACACTGCCTATAGACTCAACACTGCCCATAGACTCAACACTGCACCATAGACTCAACACTGCCCATAGACTCAACACTACCCATAGACTCAACACTGCACCATAGACTCAACACTGCCGATAGACTAACACTGCCCATAGACTAACACTGCCCATAGACTAACATTACCCATAGACTAACACTGCCCATAGACTCAACACGGCACCTCCGATTAGCACGGTTGGCTACGTACGGTGCGAAATAAGTCTTTGTGATTAATTACGAACGGTAATTACAGATCACCGACGAGCAATGGGGCAGGTCCAATGACGACCCGAGCCGGGGGTGACAATTCCCCATTCCCATGGCGAGCCCAGTAAGTCCATATTGAAACTGGGTAACCGCGAATAATCAAATCACCAAAACTTAAAAACAACGAATTTAGAATCTGTATTTATTGGACGCTTAAATTACTCGGAATTTACTAAGCACATTACACCACCACATCTCATCCATTCAAATGCCTCTCAAAGAAGGTCGCCGCATTGCCCCGACTCTCAGGTGCACTTCTGCGGCCGTCTGGAACGCTCTTGGATCCTTCCAATATGAGGAAGCCCACTGGGAGCTATGATGCACTTTTGAATCATCTAAATTGACAAACTCATTGCTTAAGAACTGATTTTTGTCTTTAGTTCGTCATCTTCGCCCCGCACCTCCGATTCGCACGGGGTTGGCTACGTACGGTGCGAAAGAAGTTGAACGCACAAATAGCAAACTCTAAATTTTTTGAGCACCGCTTTTTGTCTTTAGTTTGTCGCCCTTCCTCTGCACCTCCGATTAGCATGGTTGGCTACGTACGGCGCGAAAAAAGTTCAACAAATATATACATTTAAAACTAATTTCTTAAAAACGGCGTTTTACATAGCCGGGGGGGACACCAAGCGGCCGCTGTCCCTACGTGTCGCAAGGTGCACACGCAAATGGCAATAGCTTGCCAAGTAGGGGGCCGTGTTGCCATCTGGTTTTTACCCCGTTGAGTTCTTAACACGAGAATACATTTCTCTCTCTCGCAAATTTGGACCAGAGCATCGGGCACACATAGCCTGCTATTAAATGTGACCTTTTTTGTTGTTGCCAGTATCAAAGTATGAAACTAAATAAGAATAGGTTTGACCCATTCTGGCAATAAAACAGGTGGTGGGGTCTTTCGGTAAAGTCACGTAGGTAGAAAAAAATAATAGATCTAGAAAAATAATAAAATAATAGATCTATTATAGACAAAGTCACGTGGGTAGAAAAATAATAGATCTAGAAAAATAATACAATAGATCTATTATAGAAAAAGTTACGTGGGTAGAAAAATAATAGATCTAGAAAAATAATACAATAGATCTATTATAGAAAAAGTTACGTGGGTAGAAAAATAATAGATCTAGAAAAATAATACAATAGATCTATTATAGAAAAAGTTACGTGGGTAGAAAAATAATAGATCTAGAAAAATAATACAATAGATCTATTATAGAAAAAGTTACGTGGGTAGAAAAATAGATCTAGAAAAATAATACAATAGATCTATTATAGAAAAAGTTACGTGGGTAGAAAAATAATAGATCTAGAAAAATAATACAATAGATATATTATAGAAAAAGTTACGTAGGTAGAAAAATAATAGATCTATAAAAAATAGACCTATTATAGAAGTCACGTAGGTAGAAAAATAAGAGATCTATTATTATTAAAATAATAGATATATTATTTTTCGGTAAAGTCACGTAGGTAGAAAAAATAGATATATTGTAGAAAAATAATAGATCTATGATTTTTCTACCTACGTGACTTTTCTATAATAGATCTATTATTGTATTATTTTTCTAGATCTATTATTTTTCTACCTACGTGACTTTACCGAAAGACCCAGAGTATGGATTCCTGCAATCACGAAAGCTTCAAATCAAGGTGTTAAGATGTTCAAACAACCAAATAGACACATTTATGCAAGGAATCAAGTTCGCATTATAACCACACACAGAACTTGTTTTATTGACATATAAAAGGGTAAAACATTATTATTTCTTCATGGCCTGTTTATTTTGATTATTTTGCCGGTAACAAAAAAGTGATCGGCCACTTCGTTGAGCTATCATTTGTGACAGTCAGCTCGGGGGATTTTACATTTTAAAATACGAAGTTTATATTTATTTTGCATTTTTTTAAGTCATGTGTTAACCTTTCCTATACTGTACACGACTGTGGTGTTTTTTTTTTAATATTGTCTGTTGTTGTAACGTTCTGAGCACGTGCCCCCCGAACTGGACGCCTGTGAAAAAGAGCTTTACAGCTCATCGGATTCTCCCAGCATGTATAAATATTCCAAATGTATCTTTCCAGTACCGTCAGGGGGGGGGGACCACTTTGTATCCTTGTACCACCCACTGCCTCTTACGCGATCGACATTCGCTGATAGGTAAGAACGTTCACGCATCGCACCGAGATGCGTGATCACACCTCTTCACTCACCAGCTCTTGCTTAAACGAGTGCACGATCCCCCCGGGCCTCACATCAAACTCCACGGTAAGGGCCTTCTCGTCGGCTGACGCAGCCCCCAACAAGGCGGCCAGCGCCAAACAGGCGACCCACGCCCTCATTGTTGTTGCAGGGTTGTTGTTGTAATTTTAATTGACGCTAATCGATTAAAATTCGCTTTTAAGTTCACCGAAGCTCCCTCGGCACCGCGAGCCCTCCTTCAGGTGCCACACTGCAACGACGGTGATCTTCCTATTCCGGAAGACATCTTCCAATCCCGGTTCGGGCATCTTCCAAGTGGTGTTCGTCTTCCGGAATGCCATCGGTCGGCATTGGAGTTACGTCTACTGGAAGAACTCCGCTATCGGGTAACATAAAACGGTGTGGGCCGTCTTCCGGAAGAGGAAGATCACTCATCGCGTTCGCCAATCGGCTGCTTTGTTTGCATCACGCGCTCACGTTTGACCAATCGGCAGCGCGCACGCGTCGCAACTCGTCACTTTGGGCGGGTGGCTGTGGCGTCATTGTCGGTTAATGTGGGGGGTGGAGAGCGCCATCTTACGTAGGAAGAGCGCCCATCTTACGTAGGGAGGGCGCCATCTTGCATAGGGAAAACACCATCTTGCATAGGGAGGGCGCCATCTTTGGAAAGGGAAAGAGCCCCTACATAGGGAAGGCGCCATATTGGAATGGGAGAGCGCCATCTTACGTAGGGAAGGCGAGATCGCTACAAAATGTATCGTATCTCTGGATTATAAGACGCACCTTTCTCCTGTAATGTATGTCAGTCATACCTGTGAACCCATACGGTTTCTTCCTTGTGATAGGACTTTCTCGTATAAACGTTGAGATTTATAAGGGGCACGAGGTGACCAATAAGGTGTGACTTTGTCTCTAATAAAGTAGGCAAAATTCAAGTGTGCTGGTGCGTCTTATAATCCGGTATTGTATGCGTGTTTGTGTGACACCAGACTTTACTGAGACCGAAGTGTCTCTTACTTTCCAGAGCGTCTTAATAATGGTGTTTGAAGCTTGCGCAATACGCAGTTTATCCTTAGGGGCCGTCCATAAATGACGTCACGCGATTTTTGACCCCCCCCCCCTCGTCACACGGCGTCACAACAAGTCAGACCCCCCCCTCAAATATGACGTCACAAAACTCTGCCCCCCCCCCAAAAAAAAAGAAAAAACATGCTTCAAATCGCTTTAAACTATTGACATTGTAGTGCGTATTTAATGTGGCGCTGCACTCTGATGTTGTAGGAGAACAATTTTATTAAAAAGTCTACTTAATTAAGTAGAACGTGTTGTCTATATTTATTTAAAGTTGCGCATTTTGATGTGACGTCACATTTCTCAACCCCCCCCCCCCCGTCACACATCGTCACAAATGTCTGACCCCCCCCTTCCCACCCTAGGTGCGTGACGTCATTTATGGACGGCCTCTAATGGTGTTTGAAGCTTGCGCAATACGCAGTTTATCCATATACATAGTAATTTACACTGTCATCATTTTAATCACACTCTTAAGGTAATCTTACTCTCAATTGCATTACTTTAAATGTATTATATTAATCCTTATAAATCGCACGCAATAATATTTTACGTTCGCACCTTTCCATTTTTGCAACAACAAAAATACTAGGGAGAGAAATAAGTAATATAAAAAAAATTACAATAACACTTTAACGAAACGTACCGTACTAGTAATGGCACAACTCCGCGACTCCAGGAAGTGGCCCCCCGAAGCTTGCCACAACGTAAGAGGACCGTGGAAAATTACAGCCAACGTCAGTTGAGCGTGGACAATCCGAAACATATAACGTGTAAAAAAAATGCTTAAAAATATATTTTGTTATATATGACATAAGTATACCAAGTTTGCAGTCGATACCACAATGGGAAGTGGGTTACAATTGAGTTACTACAAGATTTGAGGATACAACACAGTGAGTTAAATAAAAGTGTGCAATAATAATATTGGTAGGAACCTCCTGGTTACACCACCAGCCCACAGGGGATTATTGTGTCCGTCCGTCCGTCGTGCATCCAAAAATGGGAGGGGTGGGGCTGGGTGGGGAGGGGAGGGTGGGGAGGGGCTGGGTGGGGAGGGTGGGGATGGGCTGGGTGGGGAGGGGTGTGGTTGAGTGGGGAGGGGCTGGTCACCCCGTGGTGCCCTTATAAAACTCAACGTTTAACCTACTCACGCCGGCTTGTGCCCGCCCTCACAGTCGGGCATATTTGCAGAATACACCACGTGGTGCCGCCGTTGACCCTGGCCATTGACCGAACAACCCAATGTTCCTACCAGCTCCCTCCGCAGGAATGTGCTAAAGGTGCGTCTTGTAATCCCGAGATGAGGGGACCCTGTGGTGGCGAGTGGATCGGTGGTATGTTGATTACCCATAGATTACCCGAATGTATGTTAATTACCCTATGAATAACCCAACGGGTAATGGATAACCATTGTGATTTATAAACATAGATTAACCCCCCCCCCCCCCCCCCACTCTGACCCTCGCACCTGATTGGCTCACCAGTGACGGCATCACGTGGACCCCCTCTCGCTCCACAACGCTCTGGCTGCCGCCTGATGATGCTGGCTGCTGCTGCTGTCGTAATTACCGGCGAAACGTCACGGCACTCGAATTGTGAACGCTGTAGTTGGGATCTTGATTTGAAGCTTTCGTGACTGCAGGAGTCCATACTCTCTGGTTCTTTCGGTAAAGTCACGTAGATAGAAAAACATAATAAAAGAACACGACGTTTCGGTCGCAACACAAGCGTCCGTTATCAGGTTTGTTGGGGTTTAACTCTTCAACACACAACCGGTGTGCTCAACTAGTAACGAATTGGCACGTTTTGTTTTACGTGACAAACCTTACTAATTGGCTGTGTCGGGTGGTGGCGGGTTTAACGACAACGTTATATTTACGTGATCTAACCTAAAAAAAACCTCTTTTATGGATATTGGTCGCGAATCCCTACCACGTGTTAAACTGGATCGGTGGTGGTGACTGGATCGGTGGGTGACTGTGTGTGAGGTCCTATGAAGGACGCTGCTACTGGGCAGTTGGAGGCAGTCACCCTCCAGCAACAATGGAGGGCAGAGGAGCGACGCTCACAACAACAAGCGGAGCGCCGGGCGGATAAAGTGCAGCAAGTTGGCACAGTAAGGGGTACAGTTGGTGCATCTACCGGTCATCTCAGTCAGCCAATTATGTATTTATTTACAGCCAAGCCATGGCACCTGGGTCTGTCCCATCACCTCCTCTCAGCGAGCCTTCGACACTTCACGTGGCCTCAAAGTGCACTTGGCCTGGCACAGGTGCCGTGGTGACGTCACAGTCACCTGGTGGCGAATGGCGGCTGTGTTGGTTTTGGTGCCAGCAGGCTGTGTCTGTTTAGGGGAGTGGAGATGGCGGAGGGGAGAGATACCAAGCGGAGACACGAGATGGAACCACAACGCCACCTCTGAAGCAGCCTATCCTTCTGAACCAAACATTCGGACGTTTTGGCGGCAGACACCCGTGCAGCATAACAACAACGCACCGGGTCGAGAGGGCTGTTAACCACGACGAGAGGGCTGTCAGCAGAGAGAGAGAGATGGTTCGTGTTCCTTTGCTGTTCCTTCTCCTCCGTTGAAGAAAGCGAAGACCACAGTGGGTTTCCTGTGCGGTCCATAGTGTGTGTGACATGGCCACAACCGCAAGACCGTGGCTCGTGCCTTTAATGCATCTCAGTGGATCTCTGTGGGTGTCTATGAGTCCCGATGGGTCTCTATGGGTTTACTGTGCGGTCCATAGTGCGGGTTACATGGCCACAATCGCAGAACTGTGGCTTGTCTTTCAAAATATTAATGAATGTAGCCCATCGACAGGGTCTTCGTTTTCTCGCGCACGAAGTCAATCACTTATCCATTTCGATATAAAGCTTTCGTGACTGCAAGGATTCATCTTCTTTGGTTCTTTCGGTAAAGTCACGTAGAATGAGAATAAAATAATAAAATAAAACAATGAAATTCTCACGACGTTTCGGCCACAACACAATTAAAGCTCTGTCGTCCCGACAGTTTTGTTCCTTTACCTGAAGAAGACTACTTGTGTTGTGGCCGAAACGTCGTGAGAATTTTATTGTTTTATTTATTATTTTATTCTCATTCTACGTGACTTTACCGAAAGAACCAAAGAACACTTATCCATTCTAAATAAATGTATGTCCTACACTGCTTATTGTGTGTCGTTTATTGTCCTTCCTCCGTGCCTCCGTTTAGCACGGTTGGCTACGTACCGTGGTGCGAAAGAAGCTCAACATACATTACAAAATAAACCATCCTAATGCAGGCAGGACCCCCATTAAATTAATATTGAGAGAGAAATTACGTTTTCTTTAAAGCACGTGGTGCATTGTGACGTGTGCGGTGGTGTTCGTCTCAGTGAGGAGGTGGCGCTTTAACCGCGATCTGCACTCCAGCTGTTGTTAAAAAAAATATAGCTGTCAAGCTATCGGATTCCTCCAGTATAATTAAATATTCTGATTAGTTAAGATTTCTGCTCAAACAAAGCAGCAATACAACAATGCATCACTAAAATGTATTCTTATGCTCGTAAATTCATCGTCTTACAATAATTAAAACCCAATTACATTCGTCAATGACAATGTGGCCTTGAAAGGGAATATATATGATATATCACGTGCCCTTTCAGGCCCTTCTTCAGAGCGCATAGGCCAGCAGAGAGATGGTGGATCAGAGTTGTAGGTTACCGATGAGACTTACACGAACGCATATTTTTATTTCTTGATTAACAGTTTCAAAAAGGGGCATTGGAATGGTTCCATCACAGTTCACATTCAGCTACAGACAACCACGCTTTAAAAACAAAGACATGTAGAAATGCTGCATACACTAATTTGTTTTAATAGCAAAAACCGTGAGATGTTGTTCGCACATTGCATCCTGGGTAACCGTGTTGCTTTGTGGTCGACTTCGTGACTCATGTTTGGGTCTTACGCATTATACCTGCGTAGGGATCAAAAAGACTTTCAAGAAATGTGCTGAACTACCGGAACCTCGCAAGCATGGGTCGAGGAATGTGCAGTGTGTTGGTATGTATGTTGAATGTCTTTCGCAATGTGTGTCGTGAACCGTGCTCATCGGAGGTGAGCAACAAACTAAACACCAAAAGCAGTTATAAAGAATGCATTATCAATGTCGTATAGTGTGGTTGTGTATAGTAGCGTAGTGTATAGTGTGGTGTGTATCGTAATGTATAGTTTAGTGTGTATCGTAGTGTATAGTGTAGTTTGTAGTGTATAGTGTAGTGTGTATTGTATATTGTAGTATGGTGTAG